AGTAGTAGTAGTAGTAGTAGTAGTAGTAGTAGTAGTAGTAGTAGTAGTAGTAGTAGTAGTAGTAGTAGTAGTAGTAGTAGTAGTAGTAGTAGTAGTAGTAGTAGTAGTAGTAGTAGTAGTAGTAGTAGTAGTAGTAGTAGTAGTAGTAGTATTGGTAATCTCAGATAGGAGCCCGAGGCCAAGACACATAACCGCCTAAACGGACACTTACCCAGGCACTCAAAGTAGACTGGTTGAAGCGATATCACTAAAAAAACTCCTGAAGTGCAACTAGGGTCGCCCTAACAACTTCAAATACTTATCGGTAAGTCATAACAAGTCGTACGACGCGGAAAAAAAGTTTGCGATGTGTTATCCCTTATTCCAGTCTTGTAATTAACAGGCAGAAGCCAGGAGAGACATTTCTGTAGCCCAGACTGCACAAACCCGCAAACTGACGCAGGGGATTCGTGCGGCCAGAAAAGAATGAAAGGAGTAGTAGGAGCATTTTGGCTTGCGCCCACCTTTAGCTATGTTCTTCTGGTAGGATACCAGGAAGTGTTGCGTCTCCGAGTCCATGTAGAAGGTGATATTGTTCAGACCGGCCAAGCTATTCAATAGAAGCTCCTCTTGTTCTGCTGTTGCGAAGCCTAAGTTTATGAAAAAAAAATTAAGCGTCAAGGACAAGATGACTTTTGAAATAAAACGGAAAATTTGGCGAGGATTGGGTATGTAGGCCCACTGAGAAAATAGAGCTCAAGGACGCCTGCGATACGGGGATTATGCTAATATTAGTTTTACCAGTAGGGCAAATGGGCGAGGCAATTAACGGAATCCGCGAAGGCATTAGAAAACCCGCATTTCTGTCATACGTTTATTTTATTATTTCGATAAGATGCCGGAACAGACCGCGCAATTTAAAAGATGCGAATCGGCGTGTGCAAACGGGCAAAAAACAGATAATCGAAGGTTATCGGTAAAATAGGGCCGGAATAGGAAGGACGGTATGCGGTAAGCAAACTTAAACCTAAACATAACATTAGTCTTTAGCCCAACCCTAAACTTAACCATAACCCCTATTTTATTCGTTTCCTAAGGCTCCGCCGGAAACTCAGCCCTGATGTAGCATACATGCTAGGAACAAGTAAGTAGGCATGTAGCAGTAATAAAAACATGGTTTTATATTCAATCGGTACCGAAAGGTACCCCGTAAACAATCCGGGGAGGGGAGGTAGACTGAGCGAGCTAAGTAGAATATAGGAGACAAATGTATAGTTGGCACTGGAGCAAGGGAGGTCCAGATAGTTGGCTCCGAAGGGAAAACTAGGATGCAGCCACAAAAAAAACAGACTAGACACAAAGGTTACTGAACGAAAGTTCCGAAACAGCATTTTGCCTGAGATTTTTTATCCTTAACGGTCGACTTCAAAGCATCCATTTACTGTCATTTCCGGTTTTCAGCATTGAGAAAACTGTCCCAACCAAACAAGATTAACGACAGCGGCGGTAAACAGCAGTTGACCTAGGAAACCACCATGAAGTGGGTTTTGAACATCTATCCCTCAAGTCGAAGTGGCGATGTAGGTAGGTACGTCTGCACTTTGTACAACCTCGAAGTTCCTGTCAGTTGCTAACCCTGTTTCACCGAAGATGTTATTGAGTTTGACGTGCACTTTTCTCTGGTCTGTAGGGCTCCTTGACTTCCTCTCTTCAGCATTCCAGCTTGAGATCTTGTGATAAAGAATTCGGGTAACGGCCGCGTACTACCATCAGTTGGCAGCATTGGGTAGTGGAGTGAAAAAACTATCGGAAGAGAGGGGGCAGTTTGATACTGACCGTAATAGCAAGAGCTCCTCAAACTAAAGTCGGACCTGGACTGCAGTGCTGCCGCATAAGTGTTCGGCCCTAACCTCCAGCTGTCAGGTGAGAGGTAACCCCAACCGCTCACGGTGCTGACGAGAGTCCTGACAACTTTGTGCGACAATTTGTGCGCTCTCTGCCCAAGGTTCCGCCGCGAACTCCATCAACCGAGTCGTGTGTCGAGAAAAGTTTTGCCGAATGCTATCACATGTTAGTTCAGTGCGACTGTATGCGCCAGCCGCTGAAATCACCATAGGAAGGACCTTCCGGGGTACTCTCTCAAGCAATACCGGGACCTGCCGAATCTTTCGTGGTGACAAGGAGGACGTGGTCCGCGTCAACCGGATCAAGGCTGCTGTCTCCGAGGCACCGCCGGACCCGTCCCAAGGACAAACCTGTGCTGACCCCCCCCCCCCAGTTCCACCGCCTTCCTCATTCCATCCTTCTCCTACCCCACCTACTCCCACCGCCCCTGACCGTCGTGACCGCCGATGTCCACCGTGGGCTCCACAGCAGGGTGGGAGCATGGTGTGAAAATTAGCTCGAGTGCATTTCCCTGACCGCCTTATCGCTCGGGTGTTTTGACATTGCATTTTTGGCGTCGCTTTTACGTTCACACGGTCGTCAGTGTGGCAGCTCACGCCTGTCAAGCACTGCGTACACCGGACGCCGTGACGCCAATCGATATTTCTCCAGTCTCGCCTGTCTTTGTCGGTAATATCATTCTGCCTATGTATCATGCGCCGCTGTGCGGCTGCTGGTTGGGCTCGAGAGAGAGAGTCCATAAGGCACAACGGAACGAGTGAGTTCCGTAAGAACTATCGGTGAGCGTCCCCTACCATCAATATTTCTCTTTTCGCCGATCGGCCGTAGGCGGAGGAAACTCAAGCGTGGTGAGATGGCTTGCTGCTTCTGCTTGACTAATTACCGACACGCGGAAAGCGGCGATAATACGCAAGTTTTTGAAAAAAAAAACAAAATGAAGAGTTGCGCTAATCACCGAGTTAAGAGAGACATGTTAACTTTTCCCTGGACTATACTGCATGAAGATTCTTTCATCAAAAGCATACGCCAATTCCCTCTGCATATTTTCATGGGAAAACTTGCAAGTTGTGCCATGCAAACACACTGCATGAATGGTAACATGGTGTCGAGTAGGGGGTAAGAAAAGTGGTTGGTTGACAAGACTTGTCTCATGACGCAACTTAATAGATGAAGCATTTCCGAAGTTAAACTTACGTGTGATATCCATTAGAAGGCAAATGCATTCAGGTATGCCAGAAGCTAGGGTTCCTGGATCCAAATCAATGGTCGCGTTGACAATCATGCGGATCAGTTTAACCAGCGCATCCTGTAAAACGTCCAGCTTCTTGTCCGTAATTTGGCGGGCCTCCTCACAAGAATTCCACTGCGCAGTAGCACTACCTTGGAGAACCGAAGACACAAACAAAAAATAATTGTCTAAGTTCCGCAAATATTCCCATGTTACACTTGAAAAGTCAAGTTGGCAAACACGTGTTTCCGGTAATTCTTCGTCAGGCCAATACAATTACATGAAGGAATGAAAATGTACAAAATCAACAGTGTTTATAGATGTCTCAAGGGCAATTAAGTTATTAACACTCATCACCCCCACGCCGCCCGCATGACAAGGTCGGCGGGTGTTGGTCCTCAAAGCTAGGGGAGGGGGTAAGAGAGTCTTTGAGTGATGTTCTTGGATTGAGTACACAGAGTACCCATCACTGTAATTAGGGATTTGGGGCGGCATGTCGTCATCACTTGGGGTCGGCGTTGGCCACGGCAGGGAGAGTGCTTGTGTCAGGGTTTTCTGACAGCATAACACCGGATTCGCTAACCGTATGGCCACTGCCTCGGTCGTTGCTAGTATCCGTTGACGTAGGCCTTTAGAGAAGCACGTTCGTGTCCGGTAGACAACCTGAAATATTTCCTTGGCATCGACTCGGTGATTCGCATCGATTAAATGTGCGAGAATAGAACTCGAAATCGACCGGGTCTCACCTCTGTCTAGCCAGGTGGGCATATGTTCACGCACCCTCTTTACCAGGCGTCTTGTTGTGCGGCCAATGCATCCTGCTCCACAGGGGCAAGTGAGTGAATAAATGCACATTGATGTGGCCTCCAACGGTAGTCTGGCCTTACCCCCCAAACGTAGGAGGGGACAGTTTGTGAAGCATACACGTAGATTCGCTGCGGGGAATGCCCTCGTGATAGCTGTAGTTAAGCGCCGTCTGACTAGCTCCCTCTCTGCATCTCCTGCAAAAGGTAATCTTATGAATACCTCTTTCTTTTCCACACTCGCAACAGTGGGCTTTGCGGCGCGTTCCCCAATATTTCGGAGGATAAATCTATCCGAGTGAGTTTCACAAACAAGCCGCCCCAAGGCAAGATTCTTTAAAAAATATCCGACAATTCAACCGTCATTTACGAAGATGTCCACCGTATGCTCTGCAGCATGGCAGGCGTAGGGACAGTGACTTGCGCACAAATTAGTTTATACTAGTGTATTGGACTTGCGCTGCATCTGCTACAATCTTTTCTCACCGACTAGATCCGATGTAAAAGATCGGAGGAGGGGTCGGGCTTATGTGGCGGGCGCGGCGTGAGTCTGAGCCAAGGCGTGGCACAACACGTCCTCCCCCTGATGTGTGGCATTTCTATAAATACGCAGCTCAATAACGCGTGCCGTATCTTTAACAGCTATACATGCAGTTACATGTATGTGTGTTCACTTTGTCCTATGAGAATACAAGACAAAGCCAAGGAGAGGTCTATATTATTTGCACAGGATGTGCAAGTCTTATTGAAGCGCGTAATGCCCGATTTTTCTCACAGCGAAGGATAGCACTGGCCTGGTTATGAGCATTGTTTTTTTAAAGCTATCGGACATGTGCTTCGACTGTCGAGCATCCAGTCAACCCACGTGACGCGTGGAAGTCGATTATCTGCAATGACACTTCCACCTATCGTGTCCAATAGGAAGCAACACTACCTGGGGAGAGGTGACGGCTTACAGGGGAATCTGCCCAACATCAGCCTCATTCGTTCCGCTACTGTAGCCTGGATGAAGTAAAACGAATAGAAATGGGACTAAGGTTGATCTAATCGAGTCAAGGATGGGTTACTTTAAGTGAAGAAGAGTCGAGCAGCTGAACACTGTGTTGATTGTCCTGAGCCTTCTGACTCGTACAGGAGTCCATCGTCAGAGGTAGCGGCAGCAGCAAAACAAGCAACAGTTATAAGGCATGTAGGCCAATCATCGACCGACGGCGCGAGACTGGAGGTGAATACGCAGAGCTCTGTACGCCGGCGCCAGATCGATAAGTCGATTGACCGAGTTCTATTCCGAGGCCCAGGCTTCAATCAATTCCCGGCCTGCTTTGTTTCCGGTGTGGGCGACTATTTTGGTGGCTGCGAAGTTAAACTCGTGACCCATTTCGTAGGTGTGAGCGACTACTTGTGGGTTACTTTCCCACCACAACCGAATCACTTTTCACAAATTTGGAAACATCTATCCTCAAGAATCGTTATGAAACCTGCGTTGAGAGTGACCCATTGAGGTTTAACGCCCAGCTGCAGCCCTCTAAGCCACTAGTCTAAAGGCGTCACAACAACTCCACAGCGGTCCGACGGGATTGTAGCACGGGAAGACTGAAGGTGAATAGCCTCATCCCTTCTGTTGTCATGGTGTTATAGGACTGGAAGTTTACTTGGTCAAATGCGCCGCAATCAGTTAATGGTTCAAACGCTCAAGCGAATCAGACTTCAGCACAAATACTGGCGGTGTTGGAAGTCTGAAGATGCAGGTTCGCTTATCTCGGTCGGCTAAAGGGCAACAAACACACACTGGGCGGCGACGAATACATGTTGACACCCGTGAGGGGAATAGGGGCTATTCCTACATGTACGCGCACCGGCATAATAACTGTAGTAGCAAATACAGCCAACTTGTTGATGTACTATCTAATTCACAAGACGGAAGAGTCATTACTGGCGGACTGTAGGCTACAGAATCGAGTTTTCTGCCCCCTATAAGCTATCAACATCACTTTTCATGGGTATGCGTGTCCGACGATAAAGTGCAATCTATTTCCATAGCTAATATTATTTGAAAGGAGGAACCTCTAAATTTCTTTCGTCATCTGCTCAAATAAATTCTAGGCTTACAGAAAAGTAGTCATAAAATACAAATTCGCGGTGACAAACAGCCTAGAAGATATCAGAAATTTAATCGTAGGATCTTTGTCTGTATCCAAAATGACCAAGTTAGATTAAAGTGACAACGGTATCTGGTGGAGTAATTGTCGTCTAGCGGGGGTGTTCAAACTCAGATAAGATCCTACTTCTGGGCATGTCAAAATTGTCATTTTGGGTTTTTTGGCCTAATCGGCTAGCAAATCGCCAACCCGGGGACAGATGCCTGAAAACATGCTAGCAAGGAGTTAGTAGCTTCACAGTCCACTTGAGGCTGCAAATTGATTGAATAGAAGCGAATATGCGAATCCCAGGTTCTTGTTGTAAAGAAGATGAACAAACGATCTCTGGAACTACGATGCAACGAACAGACCCCAAAAAATCGACCACTTACTTCAACTCTTTGCTTTCTGCCAACAAACCTTTTTCACCTTCAATGACAGAACATAAGAGCGGATCAAAAGAACACCGATGGGTTCACCAATATCCAGCCTGGTTGCAGAACTAGTCTGCAGGAGCTGGAAAAAGTCGCCTTCGACCACTAGGAACCTGCATTTTGGCGCCGGTACGTGGACGACATGCTCTTTATAATTGAAATAAGCAGATTGGCAGACTTTCAAGATCAGCTTAACGGCATCTTCCCGGACATTCAGTTCACAAGGGAAGAAGAGTATGCCGAACAGCTGCCTTTCATTGACGTTCTCGTCACACGCAAACCCAACGGCGAACTCAGCACCACGGTGTACAGAAAGGCGGCTAACACGACTCAGATTCTCAACTATCATAGTAACCACCAAATGGCGCATAAACGCAGCTGTGTTAGGACTATCTTTCAAAGGGTAAAAACGCACTGCAAGGAGCCAGAGGGGCGAGTACGAGAACTACGGCATCTTCGGGACCAACTGGCAAGGAATGGATACCCGAACAGTTTCGTCAGCCGCTACCTCCGCACGCACCCACGGCGAACAAACGGAGGAGAGCACCATCTACCATATATAAAGAACGCGTCCGAAGCAATGGAACGTATCGCTGGAGAGCTTGGCGTGGATATCGTCCACCGTCCGACAGTAACCATGCGCAACAAAATCCTGCGAGTGAAGGACCAAATAGACGTGGGAGAACAATCGGGTGTCGTTTATCAGATCCCATGTCGGGACTGCCGTCGCCACTACACAGGACAGACCGAACGACGACTTGGCTCGAGAGAACTATTGGAGGCCTGGGTGTCTGAGACCAACTCTATCAACAGACACGTTGACATACCCCCTTGCTATCACGCGCTCCGTTCCCGCAGCCAAGAGGCGAGACCCAATTTCCAGCGAAGGGTGCACGCAGTCACGCCGCCGTGAGACGGCGTGGGACTCATCTTATCGCGAATACCACCCTCTGCACTCATATCCCCCCTCCTTCATGGCTTGACTACAAAAACTGCTCAGTTGACGCCGCATTCTCACAGCCTCTGACGATGGCCTCTTGTACGAGACCGAAAGCTCAGAATAACACACCTACTCTTCCAGAGATCGTTTGTTCATCTTCTTTGCAAATTGATTGGTTGTTTGTTGGCCCTGAAGTCATCTCGCGAACGCTCTGATTGAACGCGAGCATGCTGATAGGGTAATCGATCGAACAGCATGCTTGCTTTTACGCACGCACCCCCTGACGCCATTCCCTGCCCTACCGCGGCGTCGGGTGTGCCTGCCTTCGGCTCTCGTTTGTTGTCCCTTAATGCTAACCGTTGTTTGACTTTTCTAGGTATGTTCAAACGGCTATCAGACAGAACATATCGAAAACATGTAGACTGCAAGGTCAACGATTTGTTACGCCGACGCTTCTTCATCCACTTCAGACCGTTTGCCCTCTTTCACGTTCAAATCCGACGAAGAGACGAGTTCGATGTGTGGGTCTCGTGCACCGTGCCTGAGGAGTCTCCTACGACTCAAGCAACAGAAGAAAAGCCGATCATGCATAGTATGATACGCGAGTTGGCAGCATAGCCACAAACGCTGCATACTCATTTGAGAAGTCTTCTGAAAATTGTGATTATGCTTTCGCCAGACCTTCGTTCCGACACATGAGCACTATTGGGTGAGGCAAGCAATACTGCACCGGTGACGACAATTGGCAGCGGTGAGTGCGTCCATTTAGAATTGGTAAAGCAGCCGAATGAACAATTACGCATCTCTTTTATGCAAAGTCGAGATGAGAATATAGTTGTTTGCTTTGGAATCGATGGGCTACCAATTCATAAGAAGACTGTGAGAATTTTGGGTAATATGTAGTTTGGTAGCCCCACCTGATGGACACAGTACTGTTGGGGTTAAGGTTAGACGTTAGGGTTTAGGATGAGTGGTTATAGTTAGGGGTTAGCGCAACCACTCAAAGTACAGCCGCGCATTCCCAATAGTTTTTCTTTTGCATACAACTACTTGACCTCGTCGCCTGTACGTTCCCCGGCCCCACCTGTACAAACCCCTATTACCACCGGTCCCGTATTACAGGTGACTATGGTTTGTTTACTTCAGGTGGGGCTAGATAACCACATCCGACCGGATTTTGGCCAATTCTATGTAGAATTATGTAGCCCTCTGTAAGTGAAGTTTTTGAGGTAGGAGTATACTGCGGCCATGGTATGCCTTCGGACGCACACAGTCGTTTTACAAACTACTGGCTGACTAGATGTCGACTAATTGCGTCCTGCGTGCCGATGTAATTGGCTGGGCGCCACAATTTCTTTTGGCCGCCTTAATTTTCGACCCCTTCCCCTGCAAGGACCTTTATGAAGCAAATTAAAAATGCGAATGGCTATTATAACTGTGAAGGATGTCGCGTTAGGGGGTAAGTACGTGGGCGAAGTGGTCTACGACAGTATTGAAGAGCCCACTGGGATGGATGAGTGTTTCATATATACGGCAGATGACCGCGACCTTGTAGGTATTTCGCCCCCGAATGGCCAGCAACGTGGAGATGATTATCCCGCTTTTACCAGATTGCTCGCGTTTAGCTCACTTAGAGGCTGGCGAACTTGTGGCTTCGAAGCCAAAGGAAAAGTGTCTTTATGGTGTCACATGCAGCAGTCGCCAAGGTCAGTGAGAATTTAAGATTCGTAATTGCGTACCTGCCGCTGCTATTTTCGCAACGGCAGGGTCTCTTGTAAGAGACCTGTGTGTTAAAAACGTTCTGCTAAATTTGGATGGAAGTGTTTACATAGTCTGCGTAGAATTCACGAACGTTACAGATTATTTGGCGTATAGCAATAAGCCCTCGCACCTGCATCTCAATAAAGCCAGCATGGATAATGGTATCCGCTGTACTACCTTGGCGACCTCGCTTACGAATTTGCTTGCTTCCCTTGGCGGTTTATCGTTTTGACAGAAATGATTGACAATTAGCGTAGGTGCTGAAGAGTATCACCACTTGCAAACTCTTCTCTTACGGGAACAGTGCTCGTGAACCCTAGAACCGCACAGTTCACATTACAAGTGGTTTGCGAGCACTGAGGAGTTGAAGTAGTCGTAGAAATAGGATAAACGCCCTTATCATCTATAACGTCAATCTTTTTCATATTGACCCAACTGTGAAAAACTCGGCGCCTCGGTGGGATTCGAACGCACGCAGTAAGGGGATGGCCTTAGTACAGCCAACGCTCTAACCACTTGAGCCACGAGGCTCCGCCGGGCGACGAATTTCTTCACAGTTGGGTCAACATGAATTATTCAAAATCTGCCAAAACATCCTTGAATTACGTAAGCCTGGTAGTCATCTGGTGAATTCTAGGTGAATTACTTAGGAAATCTTGCTTGGGCAGTCAACTTACTCAATCAGATTTGGTGGATTCCAGACGTTTCAGTAGGTTGAGCTGGTAACTTGACCCAAATGTGATTAAACTCGCGTCGTCCGGCGGGGCCTCGTAGCTCAAGTGGTTAAAGCGTTAGCTGTACTAAAGCCTTCCCCTTACTGTGTGCGTTCGAATCCCACCGAGGCGCCGAGTTTTCACAGTTGGGTCAATATGAATTATTCAAAATCTGCCAAAACATCTATGAGTCAACCTTTTTCCTGTGCGGTTGTAGATTACAGACGTTCGTAGAGGGTTTGCTTACAAAAAAGGAAAAACCCACTGTGGTTATGGGATGAGACGTCATCACTATCGCCGGTAGGTTGAATATGCTACTTACATTTCATTGAGAAAAGGAAGCGTATCAACGGCGAATCGACGAGGACGACTCGACAGAAACACTACCCGCCGCGTCCGACCGTAACGATGAGACTGTGCCGTTCACTGTGGCGCCCCTAAGCTGTCCGAGTGTCAAACACCCAGGGTAACGAGGATGCCTTCGATAGGCTGAACTCCAAGCAAGATATCCTGGTCAGGCGTCAGCTATGACAAACGCAACTGCTGCTGAAGCTCCTCCGAGTAAGGAAGGGTGAGGACAGTACCGCCCTCCCCCCCCCCTGTTCAGTCGCAACTGAGAAGCCTACAGCTGCTAATCTTATCAAACAGCCGGTCAGATTTTATCGAGGTGAACAGGAAGTTGGTGGACACAGACTTCCATGGGCAGATGGCAGTCCATTACTACTGGGGTATATCCACAAAGTAACTAAAGTCGGTATTCGGGCAATATACCTATCTTGACATGTTGATATCCACGCAATATCCTGTCGATATCAACATGCTACCAGGACAGTGGCCACGATACATGGAATAGAACTGAACTGCTTCGGTCCTTGTTGAACGCGAACCTACTTTAATTGCCCGTCAAACGTCCAGGTTTTTAAGACTATGCTGAGGACGGCCACTCACAGCCTTAATAGCAAAGGAGGGCGCATTGAGCCCGCTAACATCCGCATTTGCGCTACCAAAGCGAATCTGTGATCTGATTGGTTGTTAGGTTCGCTGTGATCGCGTTGCTAGAGGGCGCAAATGACTGCATGCACTTGCACAAGCTAATCGATAGGATCCGGAGTTGGACTGCCCGCACGCGGCCCCCGGCGCCAATTCCTGCTCTGCCACGTTGGCATGCGCTCCGTCCTGTTCTCGCTCCGCCGTCTAACTGCTTTTTTCCTCTCTAACATGTTTATTTGTGTGAGCAGCCCGGACCCATCGACGTCGCGTGAAGCCACTGAAATCGTACGAAAATATTAACGAAAATATGAGGCAGATGGCACCGTCGGATACATCATCGTCGTATTCATCCTCTGACAGCTTGACAGCTTACACCGAGTCGTCGTCTTCTTACGATGACAGTGGTTCTTTGGTGTTCGAATTACACAGCACTTCTGCCAACGAAGATGCTCTGTCGACGCGGAGGGCGAGCCAACGCTGCTTGAATCACTGGGCATGTGGGCAGTGCGCTCACAAACGCCGCACATTCATGTGAACAGTCTTCTGAAGGTTCTCAGGGCCCTCCACCCGGACTTTCCGTCGGACGCGCGCGCACATTGTTGGGTGGCACAAGCATATCCGCACCAGTTACAGCCATGGGCAGTGGTGAGTATGTTCGTTTAGGGTTGGCAAGACAGCTGACTAACCAGTTTTACGTTCCTCCCTCTCCGCAATGTCCGTCGGATGAGGTAGTTGTATGTCTAGCTATTGATGGGCTCCCCATTCACAGGAAGACTAAGGTAGAGTTTTGGCCCATTTTAGATGGGGTAATGGAGCCCATAGTCGGGGACGATTTTTGTTGTAGGAATATACTGTGGTGTAGGCAAGCCCTCCAACGTGCGGGCGTTCTGAAAACCGCTCGTTGATGAATTATCATCATTGTCTAACAATGGTTTGCATGTCACGTCCACTTAGCTGCTGTCATATGCGATGCTCCAGCCAGTGTCTTTATCAAGCAAGAATGTTAATGCCTACTACGGCTGTGAGATGTGTTATATTAAAGGTGAATCCGTGCACAAGGTCATATATGATAGCGTTTCTGAGTCACCGAGAATGCATGAGGATTTTTTATCCGCCACAGACGACCCTCGCCGCATAGGCATGCCTCACTTGTTGATGTGTAATGTAGGAATGATTAGTGAATTTCCTCTGTATCCCCTACAATTGGGTGTATTTAAGTGTAATGAAGAGACTTCTGAACTTGCGGCTTCAAAACACAGGGGAAACTGCTTTTCGGTTGTCTACCTCAAAAGTATCTCAAATAGGTTACGTTCCCTAAATGCGTACTTGCCGCGTGAATTTTCACAGTGTGCTATGGCAATACGTGACATGCACATGTGGAAGGGTACGGAACTGCGACAGTTTTTGTTGTACAAAGGCGTAGTCGTGCTTGATGGCATTATTCCTCGTGAGTATTGGAAACATTTCCTACTGCTGTTTACAACGGCACATTGCTTAGTTCGGCCGCGCACTTATAGGGTATCTTACAGTAGGTATCTACTGAGATTGTTTGTGGAGATGTGTTCACTCTTGTACGGTAAAGGACAAATGGTGTGCAATGTTCACAGCATTGTTCACCAACCGGACGATGTCTTACGACATGGTCCATTAGACAGTTTCTCATCTTTTCCTTTCGAAAGTAACCTAGGGAGGCTCAAGCGATTGCTTAGGAAGCCGTCCCAACCGTTGCAGCAAGTAGTGCGTCGGTTAGGTGAATTGCAGTGTGTAAGACGTGACGCCTGCATTCCACCGGAGTGGAGCTGCTAGCAAGAACATATTGACGGTCCAATTCCACTCTCAGATGGATCATTTACGCAGTTTAAAATTATACAGAGGCAACCTGGTCATTGGAACTACGCCCTCGGAGGGCTCCGTAGCCTACTTCGACTATCCAATTAAGTCCTCAAACGTTAGGGTTTTCGACGCCAAGTCAGACACTGAGATTCACAACTGCCCATCGCCGCCAGCGGTTCCGAAGTATGCATGCTACCCAGTGCAAGCGTACTTCGTCCTAATGGAAATTAATGGACGTTGGGACTCTGAATACGCACGTATTTGCCATTGTCATGCACTGTAGGAACGGCAAGCCGCCTAATGTGGAAATGTTCCTTCAAGAGGAAGGCTTATGGTTGAGTTATCGCACAGGCAGGATACGTGTCCGGATAGCTAGTGTTAGTTGCCATGCACTCGCGTGAGCTCTTGCTAAGCAGATTAAGAATGTTAATGCATATGACGACTGTACGAAAAGTTGTCTACCTCGAGGAAGGCAAGGAGAGGGAAGATGACGTCTTTATAGGACAGGAAAGTAATCAGGATGTAGTCGGATCGTCGCCATTTATCCGTTGTAATCTAGGTTTGGTGTCCAGTTTTCCTCTAGACCCTCTGCATCCTGCATACTTAGGTGTGATGAGGAAGCTAACTCATCAGTGGGTTAAAAATTTCCGGTCTAAGATGCCTTGGCAGACTAATTTGTGCGCATCGCGTTCACCACAAGTTGAAATAGTTGATTGTAAATTACGAGGTTTAAACCCATCTACCTGTAGAATTCTCTCAGTGATGTAGAAGCTTAGCCGACTTAGATTCCCGAAAGGGCACTGAATACAGACAATTTTTTTGCTGTACACCGGGATAGTTGTTTTGAAGGACATTCTACCAGCGGGGCACTTTGAACGCTTTCGCCTGTTTACGGAGATAAGGCAGCTGGCCTCGACGGACGCATACATGTCAAACAATGGCTATGCTAGACATTTATTAAAAACCTTTTTTTACTCGTAAATGCGCATCCCTTACAGGGGCTCATGATACACATGGTCCACAACCTCCACAGCATCATGCACATTGTTGATGATGCTGAACTTCATGGGGCCTTGGACTGCTTCTCGTCTTTTCCATTCCAGAGTTACCTGGTCGAATAAAGAGGCTGTTGCGTAGTCCTTCCAGAGCGCTGCAGGAGATAGTTAGGCGACTCAGTGTGTGCACACATACAGTTGCCAAAAATTTCGGCTTCTGTGTAAGCACACCACAGGCACAATTTCAGAGGGCGTTATTTTCGAGGGCAGTTTACCTGCATACTCATCGCCGGCTTCCGAGTGGATGCTTCAGCAGCTAATCGGTGCATAACGCTCGCCGACAAGGTAGTTTGCATAAAGAACGGACTGCTGGATAGCGCAGGACGTGATCTCATAGGGTATAGCGAGTTCATTAACCTTGATGATTACTTCCTATATCCTACAGAATCACCAACCTTACACAGCCGATACTTAAAGTATCATAGAGTGTGCATGCCTACCGGCAACCTTCCCGGAGTACGTCTGCTTTCCTCAAGATAACTCATACGTTTTAAGGAAAATATTAAGGCTGATGACTTAACTGGTATCCTTTGCCACAATCATTCCTGTAGAATGGTATTACCGACAAAGACAAGGGAGACTGGAATGGCCATTTCTGGCTTATTTGCCGTCGTCAGCCAGCCATACCCAAGCCCGAAGTGTGGAACACCCGAGCCTCGAACTCGCGACCTGTTGGTTTAGAAGTCCACGCCTCTACCCACCGGGCCACGAGCCCGTTGCCCTGTCGGTTTTCGATCGGGAATATACAATGGTAGGGGGCGCTCACCGATCGTTCATACGGAACTCACTCGTTCCGTTGTGCCTTACGGGCTCTCTCTCGAGTCCAACCAGCAGCCGCACAGCGGCGCATGATATATAGGCAGAATGTTATTACCGACAAAGACAAGACAACGGTAATATCATCCTGCCTATATATCATGCGCCGCTGTGCGGCTGCTGGTTGGGCTCGAGAGAGAGCCCGTAAGGCACAACGGAACGAGTGAGTTCCGTATGAACGATCGGTGATCGCCCCCTACCAATCATTCCTGTCCTTCCTTTGACCCCACAACCACACAGGCCCCCAGTTGGTAGTCAACGAGCATCACGGGACGAAGTGGGCGTAGTTGGTAGAAGTTACTAACGACAGTTTCTCACTGTGGTTGAAGACATTCATGGTGACTACTTCCAGTGACGAAGGAAGTCGGCGGAAGTCAATCAGGCAACGCCGTAATCCATCTGACAAACCGTACTGGGAACTAGGCGAGCCGCCTATATCACCCGCAGTACGTTTCATCAAGTTGCCAAGCTTGCGATGCAGTTGATTCGGATCGTGGGTCCGCGGACACGCTGCCAACACGCAGGCCGGGGAGCTGCCGAGGTAATGGGGTAGGGCATTAATTTTCTTGGTAGGTTGCCATGATCCGTCCTGACGCTCTGTTGTGCGTGAAATACAGGCGTAACTACGAAGGCAGAGCAAAAACATCGAGCTCATGGGTAAGCATCTCGCTTGGCTCATAAAGAGCAACCTGCGCATGCATGGGGACCTGCACACCATGCGGGCGCTTGCTAGCCTCCGAGAGTCCGTCCCAGAAAGTTGGGAGGCCGCCTCGCCTTCTAGACCTCCTAAGCCGGTCCATTTGCACAAAGTCCAACTTCCTGGAGGTGAACAGTAGGCTCCATGACCCGCCGGTCAGGAGTCAGTTGACGAGGTTATAGGGATTTTAGGACACAGAGGGACCTTTTGGTCTGCCTCGGTGAATGCAACACAGATGATTTGGTGAGGAGGGTTTTTTATGCCCTCTTCGATGACAAGACAACAATTCATATTAACTTGAAAGTAAAAATGAAAGAAGGCCTGTGTGGTTCAGAGGTGGTATACGAGGCAATTAAAGGTAGGGTATTGCTTATGTGTAACCATATGCTAAAGGGACGTTTACGGGACTTGGAACAGAGGGGGCCACGTGGATGTGTATGAGCTCGAGGTCACCTTCACAAGGCACTTGAAGAGATCCCTCCATGCTCTATGAAAGCGACATTCGCAGCCGGACGCCATACTGTATGACTCTGGTTAGTATAACGATTCTGTTAGTACACTTACTTGGCTTAGAACCCACAGTAGATCCTTCATCGTCGAGGACGCATGAGCAGATCTGAAGATAATTCTTGTAATTTGTTTTTCTTTAGTAGAACCCATTTTCTCACTACATGAAAAACGCCCTCATTTAAATTTTTCTTGGGGCCTTACATAGTACGTGCAGTAATAGATTGGACGGGAAGTGCGGGTAAGAGCGCTCGTAGGTGCTACAAGGCATACGTCGCAAAGGAAGGGTGTCCCGTCCCGCAGCTGTGAAGCGTCGTGTTGCGAATTTTCGCTGTTGTTTCCAATAGCGACCAAATGGCTGAAATCCGCTATTGATCGGTCGTTACTTTTCCCTAGCGAGTCGCTGTCGCCTCGCCATGGAATTGGTATTAAGGGTACAACTATCTCATCTGATGGACATCGCATAGAGGGGGTACGTAACTGATCATTCAGCTGTCTTGCCAGACCTAAATAAACATACCACTCCCCATATTTGCTTGGACATACTGCCGTCTTTTAGAAAACCACAATATCCAGTCGAGATCCATCTACGCAACCCTAACGCAGGGAATGCAAGTGTACAATACTTTTAATCCAGCTATCTTACATATTTCTGCTACTCTGTACAGATATAACTTATTCTTCCACCGAATTGAACATTTTTTCAGTCTTTATATTCGATTTCTCGAATATAATAATAATAATAATATAAATAAACCGATTATATTACCATCTCCACTTTTTATGCTACCACGAATTACCTGCATGGGTAGGGCGACCGCAAACTAACTGAGGCTTAAATTTCAGATATATCCGGCCGCCTGAACTTGGGTGTGAGCCGGCTAGTATGGCAGGAGTGACCATTTCCGTCTGCCTATTCTTTTTACGGTAACAGTTATGGATTCAAAATAACCTCGTTAGATCTAGTGTGCAACTACTATCCAGTACGGACGCTGTAGCCCACATAAGATGCTACTTATTATATTTTTGACGGAAATAGGACGAGAAACCTGCGTTTAAACGGAGCTAACTAGTGCACAGGTCCGCAAATTGAGATAGAATGGGGTACGTGTTGAAGGTGGCAGAACTTATCGTAGATCAGAACTTATCATAGATTACCTGAAAGCTCGGTTAGGTGAGGAAGTGTGCATCCAACGGGGTTTAGAGGAAAGTTAGGCCTCCAGAGTCGTAAAGTTAAAAAAAGAACAGAGTAATAAGGGACTACCTGCGGTGGCGAACTTTCTCATCACCTTCGACGCCTGACGCTGACAGAGATGGCAGAGTTCTTTCAGGACTTGTCGGCCACAGAGGATGGCACTTCGGGCAAAGCTGCAACGCGCTGCAATGTTTCCCAGGGCATAGGCCAGGCGAACAACAAAATCCTGCGAGAGAAAACGAACTGAGTGACTACGCTTGAATGAAGGCAAAGAGGAATTCGTCCGGAGAAAACGCTTGAACCAAATCTCATGTTCGCCCAGTCTGGTTTGTGTTCCGAATTGGTTGGCATGGGAGCTAATACCCCTTAGAACTATTCCCATATCGTGTCTACTTGCTTGACTTAGGTAGCCTAGTATAAATTATCTAGAAAAACATTTAAATTACTAGGGTCTTGCCTGTTGCGTGCATTAAAACAGGCACTCAACACCTTTGTGGCTACCTAGACCCCAGGGGACTGAGCGGTCAGAGTGGCGATCTGCGCGGCACGACCTAAACGAACGATGTAGTAGTACTGTGTCGAGGTCTTGAAGGCGTTTCAGTTGACTTCCATGAGAGGAGGTTGAATCTGTTTCAGATGAGCCAGTGTTTTCCCAATTCTACCTCAACGATCAGAAGCAGTCACGCTGTGGGAAACGGCAGCCCAGTGCAAGGAACAGATTGTTCAGTACTCGTGCCCGGTGGTTGGCGTACCATCATTCAGGCATGACTGTGATGGGGGACATCTTAGTGTTGCCTCTGTAGCGCTCTCACGCAGATCAGCCCCGGGCCGTCGTCCCCACGCTGCGAAAACCAGTCCGTGTGGGGCACGCGTAGAGGGGCTTTTTGGCTTTCTCAGCCACTGAGCCCAAACCCACATCAAGTTGCCTCGAAATTGTCCTGTCATCGGAGTCTGGTGAGTAAGGGTGGAGAGAGTACGGTAGATGCTATGCAAGTCTACCCGAAAATAAACCAATTTGGGCCTAGGTCACCGGTGCTACGTCGATCTTAAAGAAAGGTAGTAGATCCTTGTGCGAAAGCTTCCATGGCGTAAGTGTTCATGATACACTCACGAAAGACTTGGAAGCCGTCAGCCCCAGTCACTTACATTTGTATCGTGACGTATAGATAAACTACAGTACGGTCTTCTGCCGGACAAGTGTGCGCATTCGTCTTGCTGCCTTTGTTGAGATCTCGAGCATTGCCACTGCTACTACCATCATCATCATCATCATCATCATCATCATCATCATCATCATCATCATCATCATCATCATCATCATCATCATCATCATCATCATCATCATCATCATCATCATCATCATCATCATCATCATCATCATCATCATCATCATCATCATCATCATCATCATCGTCATCATCACCACCACCACCACCACCATCATCATCATCATCATCATCTCTTCCGCGGACTATGCTTTTGAATTTGAAATTGTCCATCGAGATTCCGTATGGTCAAGCGAACTTCATGATAGCATGCCACTGAGATCACTTCGACTAATTCAAGTCTACTGTCGTGAAACAAGGACCAAGGTCAATGCGAAGGGTTGGGAGAGGGATTTCACGGGTGTCACTTCAGTCGTATGTAAGGACTGCTTTTTCACGAAATCTGCTCAAATTCGTTAGAAACTGGGCTGTTGAAAACGCATTGGTAGACCACCTCGGTGTTGCAGTAGGTGCTGGTCCTCGCATCACAGGCTGTGATCACTTGTATGACACTGCAGTGTGTCCGAGCTGCTCTGCTTCTCTGGTCGTGTCTCCAACCCACGATTTACAGTCGCTCACGAACAGAAGCGGTCGACTGTTTCCTCTTTGTTTAAAATGGTTGGTTAATGTGTTGCTCTGTCCAAACGGATATCATTTGTTCGAACCCGGCCTTTGTTGCCGACAGCATCAAGGTGACCAACAAAAGACCTAGGAGGACATGATGAGTAATGGACTGAAGCGTCCTCTTAACTCCGAGGCTCTCGAGTGACTAAAGTGGAGGGCAATCATTCGTGATATGGCTACACCGCAACATGGAGCCAATTTAATTGATTATGGTGAATGCATGTAGCATCTCCCCTACCTTCCCCGTGTACTTTCTTACGTGCTTCTAGTTTTTAATGCCAGGTGAATCATTTTGTAGGAAATTAATGGATGCACTTAAGATAGGCGCCAGTATTCTGTCCTACACTCAGAATAGGTCGGTGGATACCGTTCTCATGCATTAGTCTTACAGTCTGTCGACGGTGTAAGCGATAAAGCAATTACTGAGATTCTTTTTTGCCTCTCACGGCGGGCCACGCGGAAGTTACGCTGGATCAGCATGGGGGCCAGATCAGGTTAGGGCACGCTTTATTGGGTAGCACATCCATAACGAGTATCATGCACGAGGGGATGCTGTGGCATGCCTAGGCGCAGGCAGATGCCGCGCCAAACTCCTGCGCCCAATCCCCGTATCAGATAAATAACCAGCTCGAAAAGTGAACTGGTGCCTGGCAGAGAAAGTCGACACTGTGGACTCCGTCCCCACGGCACCCAACGCATATTCTTCGTTATAAACAATCGGACGCGTTTCTAGAATAACATGGTGTGCTATGAGCAGTGACTTCCAAGGCTGCCAACTGAGAATATAGGTCGGTCCTCTCAGGACGGAGAGTTGGGCTGCAATGCCTCCTTAATTTGACCTCCATGGTACTTCCATTCAGGTTTGGATCCTAGCCGCTCCTTGTTTGTGTGAAAATCTGGTGCACCGCGTGCGGACCAGGCATGTTTAACGATGTCAGCCACGGCGTCCGATCCTGCCTCAAGTTTTGCTGACTCTGTCATGACACAAAACGCGGGGGGGGGGGTGAGGGGGGAGAGAGCGCGGTAGATGCAGCGGAAATCCGCCACCACTATAAACTAATTCACGTGCGATTCATCGCCCCCTGCGTGCACCTTGGTGTGGGACATGCGGTGGTCAGCGTTGGTAACTGCTTTCAAACTGATGGGTCGGAACTGTTTACATTCAACACTGTAAATTGAAAAACAGACATCCCAAGGGATATAATTAGGATCATGGAATTATTTGGGAAACAGTAAACTTTATTGTGTAAATTTTCGGCACTGGTTCCCCAGCTCGTCTTCAGACAACGGGCGCGCAAAAACAATTTACTTCTAGACCGAGTCTGACAAAGGATTCTATGATTGGTTAAAGTCAGCTTCAGAAGACAAAGTGGCGAGAGAACGTTGCTTTCGATAACTCGTCAGGCCAGTACAGTTATAGTTGTACTGGCCTGACGAGTTATCGAAAGCAACGTTCGCTCGCCACTTTGTCTTCTGAATATAGCTATGGGGATTTTCACAACTCTAAAGTCATCTTCTCGGGATTGATTGAGTCAGTTTGAATCTGTCCTTAACAATTTTGTATGTGGCATCTAGATCGATACACCAGTTGATGCATGCATCATCTGAGTGCATTGCCTCCAGGAATTCGCGGCCTTTCCTTATTGGGCAGGCGCCAACAACGCGGGTGTTTTCCCATGCAAATTTGTGTTCAGTGTGTGCATGGCCACCTGGGATACATGGTCGCGTCTTTTTACCGCTAACTGATGTTCATATATACGGGTTGAGACAGATTTCCCAGTTTGGCCACAATAGACGGCATCACAACTAGAACATGGGATTTTGTAGACAACACCTTTTCTTTCGAGGTAGCCAATCCTGTCCTTAGGGTGTACAAGCTGTGTGCGTAAGGTAGTTGCCGGCTGGTGTGCTACGTGTATCTGGTATTTTTTTGTCTCTCGACTAGTTCAGATACATTTTTCACGTATGGGAGAGTTCGCCATGTGGTTGGTTTTGGTGCCCGAGCGGCCGTAGCACTGGAAATACCTTTTCCCTTGAATTGCTAGTGGCTCATGCATTGACGTATAAAGTCATGCGGGTATCCGTTTTGGGAGAACAGTTTGTAGAGGTATTTCATTTCTGCCCGATAACTTGTTTCATCAGAGCAGTGGGTTTTGGCTCGATTCAGAAGGCTGTAAAATGTACTCCGTTTATGAGAGACAGGTTGGTTACTCTTAAAGTGTATGATGACCTCTGAATACGCTTCTTTGCGATAAACTGATGTATGAAGTGATCCATCGGTTTTTCGACGTACAAGGACATCCAGGAATGAGAGTTGTCCATCAACCGCTGTTTCGAATGTAAACGTAATTCCTGGAAATATAGAGTTAGTGTTGGTATGGAGCAGATTCAATTGATCGCTCTTGACGATGACAATAGTGTCATCTACATATCAACATTCTTGGAATTAAACTAGAACACGGCCTAAGGCGAGGGCTACGGAATGCACGGACGTCTTGGGAGCGTTTCCAGCGTCTGCTCTTGAACATTTGGCTTTCACGACGAAATACTGATCCAGTAGTCGAGTCAAAAAGGCCTATTTCAATCCCCCTGACTCCAGTCTACTTGCATCCTCAGAATATGCTTTTCAGCTCACACCACAGAGCAAGTTGTTGGCTCACCAGTTCACCACTATGAAGAAGAATAAGTTGGACACAATTCTTGCAGCACTCAACACCATCCAGGATCGGTCTGCAAAGGTCGATGCATGATGCGGCCTCTCCCCTCTCGCAATCATCCCCCTCCAAGTCGCCGAGGAGATAATGACAGAAGCTCGCATGCTCTGTCAGACGGGCCATCAGACGAGCCCAGTTGAGGAAGACGTCTCGTCTGCTGCTGCCCTGATCGTCAACACCTGTTGGAGGCGAGGCAGAGGCGGCCCGTCGTGTCAGCGCCTCTAGGACTGTCTTGACAGCACCTGACGAGATCAGCAGGCTCCACCACTCCTCCGGCTGGACGGACATTGTGCAAAACATTTCTGTCACCTAGGGGAACCGGAGAGCAAATAAGAGGTACCAGTAATAGTTATTACGAAGAAATGAGGAGATAAGATCTTATTTTGTAGCTGCACCCGTTTGAGGTTACGGTTAGGGGTTAGTGTTAACCCCCCTATTACCACCGGTCTCGTATGACATGCGGCTGGGGCTTGTCTGCTGCAGATGCGACTACGAAATAAGATCCGACCAATGAGGGAAATGAACAAGGAGAAAATTGTGAGGATCATGGAGGGGGATGGAAAGACGGATCGCAAAATGGCGGCGGCTAGGACAGGGACCTACACTGTTTTCCAGGATTTTCGTCTGCGCAGCAAGAAACAACACACAACATGCAGTTTGGAAGGCCCGGCTATCGGTGACACTGAAAATCATGAAGTATTCAGCAATATTTCGAGGCCGATCTGAAACTCCACGCAATCCAAAACGAACGAAAAGTGTAAATTAATTTAACGGAAAAAGCTCTCTCTATAAACACAAAATGGTATGATCGGGAATATTAATTATGATAGTGAGCGCCCACAAAATGGCATGTTTACGATCACACCTGTCAGTTCTATTTAAATTTATTAGGCACCGACCGGCCTCATGACATGTCACCTTATGAAAACTTTTGTTCCTACGACGTCCCCATCGGCGAAATCAAGCAAAATCCAGCTTCTCTTGTTGAACCCCATCTCATTCACTTTAAACAAATGAGAAAGAAACAGAATTCACTGGAAAACTGTTTTGGAATCTACACCCAGAATGTAGGCACTTGACAAACCGTCATATATGAAGTCACACTACTTATAAAACGATATTTATATGTAAATTTTACTAAAACACTGTTATTAGACGTTATTTTATGTTTACTTTTATAGTTACTACGTGTTTGGTATGAGGATGCATTCTATACATCTAAAAACGAACTTTACTTAATTAGAGCCATTTCTGACGTTTCGGGATATTGCGCTTTTAAAAATAAATCGACATTTCTAAACAACGCAACAATGCCTATAATATTTCTTTTATGTTTTTAAGTCTTTTAAACTTGTATTTAACTAACATAGACATTTGACTCATGAAATGGTGTCGGTTGGCGAGCGACTGGCAATCATTCGTAAATTTCGACACATTTCATGAGTTAGATCACTAACTGTAGCCGAGCTCGCACATTTTCAAACTGCTGATACGAACGGGTCTCGGGGCGATGGGGAATCTGCAAAGACGGACCGCCTGTTAGCGTAGCGGTGTGCTACTCGGTCCACCCACAGACGGGCGATGGTGTAATAGCCCTCGGTGAAGGCTAGCTGAGAAGTAGGCAGTCATCGGATCCGGAGAATGAACAATCGCGGACCATGCAGCGAGGCTGCGAACCGATATGGCCTATCGGTCAAAAGACCTAGCAGTTTTAGGCGATTACGAGTGCTACCTACTATCAAGTAAGGATAAACTCGTGTGCTGCATGTATGGGCAAAGGCGTCCGCTCTCGAAGCCAAGCACAGAAGAGACGAGTCTTTTGCCGAACCTCCTACGTCATCGTGGTCCGGCTATCCATGGCCTGACCGGGCTTTTTGAATACCGGAGGTTCTTTATCCGCCTGTTTTAACTGGATACTTTCTCAGGGGCAATAGCGACGACAGGCGTACTTGCCTGACAGACAACATCGGTCGCGAGATGTCGCGGTACGACGGTCGACGGCCTGGAGAGTCCTAGATCACAAGACAGGGAAGACTGAGCGTTTGGACAAATCAACTGCGACCAGGGCGTACAGGAAGCGCAGCCGACAACGGCAGCGAGTTTCATCGCTAGCCCTCTCAGCCGTTTATACTGTTAGCCCGGGCGCGAATTGTCTGTTGCTGCGACCAACCTGTGAAGGCCGAAATATCGATCGGTGTTAGTGAGGCGAAGGTTGAGTAACGCGCGTGTACGCAGCGCTTGACAAGGCTGCTAGGCCGACCGAAAGCGACGCGGGCAAAGGGCCGCGCTGACGCCCGTAACAGGGTGCAGGAAAGAAATCAATAGCTGGCGGTTCATCTAGCAATTGACGGTCTTCCAGTTTAAAGGCAATTAAAGACCGAAATGTGGCCTATTTTGGGGAGAATAATGTGGCCGTACGTCAGCAACGTCTTTCTAGTAGGCATATATTGCGGTAGTGGGAAGTCGTCTGACGTCCTTCATTAGACACACTTCCTGTTGCAGAAGACACTCGCGTCGAAGGTAAGTCCTCGTAGGCTGCATATGCAGGTAGGTAGGTACTCCTTGATGGTAAGTTACAAACTGATCTTCTACCTAGATCCAAGCCTCGGGCCTTCGACAGGGTAAACAGCTGATTCGCCTACGGATTGCCCTGACATGGGCCTATGACATTTCAACGACCAATGTACATATCTGATTTTTTTGTTTCTTCAATATACGTCTCCTCCTTCACACGACTTCAAAATTGTTGTGGCTACATTGCGTTTTTCTAGGTTTGTTGCTCAAATAACGACTATGGTAGAGGGTTTTGAAGGCTGGGAAGAGACAATAGAAACAATGTAGGTCGAATTAGTACCAAGGGCTAGTATTTCCTTGGATAAAGGGATTGTACGAAATGCCGTACTTCCTGCTGTCACCGTTTTATGGATATCTCGATGAATCGATATCGGCTCGATATACACTCGTCGGACAAAATTGGGATCTACTTGATGTACCTCTTCGAAAATCCGCTATCTACTTGATGTCGAAGCAATATACTCTTGCTGCTAAGGAACCGAAGAGCTGGGATTTTTGAGATAGAGGTAGGAAGGCTGCAGAGTGTGCACTTGGGGGGGGGGTGTCGACGTAAGGAACAAGGGGGTGGGAAGGGTTGCAATTCACTTGGGGAGGGTGGGCATATCAAAAGCCAGTCATGATCATTCTTGTTGCCTCTAATCACTGGGCAACGGGCCCGTTGTTCTGTCGGTTTAGATCGGGAATATTCAATAGTAGAGGCGTTGGACTTCTAACTAACAGGTCGCGAGTTCGAGTCCCAGGTGTTGCACACTTCTGGGTTGGGTATGACTGGCTGACGACGGCTAATAAGCCAGAAATTTCCATTCCAGTCTCCCTTGTCTTTGTCGGCAATAACATTCTGCCTATATCATGCGTCGCTGTGCGGCTGCATGTTGAGCTCGAGAGAGAGAGAGCCCGTAAGGCACAACGGGACGAGTGAGTTCCGTAAGAACGATCGGTGAGCTCTCCTCTACCATAGTATGTACTATATTTAGGGTAACAGGCCTACTGTATTGATAACCCTATTGAAAAGGGTACATACAGGTGGTCTTGTTCTTAATTCCAGGGGATTAGGCTTAGGGTTATGAGGCTAAAGTTGGGACACGGCAATAGTTGCTGCCTTAAAGTTTAACACATGGCCATCTGAAGTGCGGCCTCCTTATTTCCGTGTCAGACCCCTGTGATTACCGGTGCTGAATTATTACCGTTCCCTAACGACGCTGCCGTCGTCCTCATCGTCATCATTATCACCGTCATCGCCTCCGTCACCACGACCGTCGGCATCGTCTTTTTTCCACTGACGGCTGCATACATTTAGATATCGGTCACAACATAAGTAGCTGTCGTTCGGTGACCGATTAGGGAAATCGTTCAGCCGGGACAATCGAGTATGTCTAGGCAGCAGGGTCACACCACAGGCAAAAGCAGATTTACCTGCAAGAGGACATCGTACATGCTCTTCGCCAGCTCACTGCACGAGACCATGGCGCGCGTGGCTTGGGCACCACTGAGTGAAATACGAGCCTCCAGTTCGGCAGATTTTGCCTCCAGGTCCGCATGAATACTCGTCAGTGCGTGAGCTGTCGTCTCCTGGCAGAAGATGTCTCCAGTTTTGGCGGATGCGGTGAGAAATTTCAGTGCACCCGACAGGTAGAGCAAAGCCTCTAGACAAGCCCGTAGTTCTACTCTGGAGTATTCAGCATCAAGATCATCTTGTTCGGTTGCAGTTTCCGTAGGGGGGAGACGCAGTTCACACAGGAGACAGACCATTCGGCCTGTAGGGAGAATTGCATGCTGATGAGCGAATGGAAACTAACTGGTGGGTACGCATACGGTTACTCGGTAAGGGTTAAGTATATGCGCGGGGTGAGAGAATGCCAACTGTTCTTTAACAAATTCGTTAGCGTTTTACCACTGGTGTTTTACGGGCAGACGTATGGACTCTATTTAGCATCATTTCGAGTACTTTCTAAATTATCTGACTGCTCTCCCCGCCGAGCGTTTTTGGTCAGATGTGATTATGTAGCCGCACCTGAGGTAAACAAACTCCAGCTACCTGTAATACGGGACCGGTGGGACCCAGGAAAGCACAGGCGGCAAGGTCAAGTAATTGTATGCAAAAGAAAAGCTATTGGGAATGCGAGGTTGTACTTTTAGTGGTTGAGAAATAGCTGCTCTAACCCCTAACCATAACCCCAACCTTACCCCAACCCTAAACCCTAGCTCCCTAAGCCTAACCCTAACTCCAACCCTAAGCCTTTAAACCTAACCCTAACTTCTAACCGAAGTTTCAAACCCTAACCTTAAAACATCCAACGTGAAAAGTAGGAGATGGCAGGTCGAAAGTCGAGAGGCACCACCAGCTTTGGACCAAAAAAGTAGACACGACAACAAAGAAACAAGGCCGCCAACAGAACACATGCCGCAACGCACAGCAACAACACGCCAACGTAATCACACCAGTTCAAAATAATTAAGTAGGTCAACAGTATTGTGTCCCTCAGATGCGGCTGCAGAAAAATGAATAAATATAGACATTTCAGCAGCACTAGCTCCTCGAGGAGATACAGGTCAGAAATTGTCATTCCGCCGACAAAGGGCTGACTAAAAACTCTGCATAAAAACACCACCTCTGAAAAAAATATAGTAGGCAGTTCTCCGCAGTTTTTCCTTAACCCGCGCATATACTTAATCATTACCGGTAACTATTTTCGGTGAATTGTCAACTTAATAAAAAAAGGGCGGGGCTTGCTTATACGCCCTCCTCTGCAGGACACGGGACGGAATCCGCCTGTAATAAAGGTGGTTCTGCGCTAACTTCCAAGAAATATAGGGGTAGGGTTAAGCGTGGGGTTAAGGCCAAATCAGGGTTACGGTTGGAGTTTGCGTTGGAGTTGGGATTCGGGCACGGAAATATTTACCCTTCCTGCCATTTAACGCCAACTGTATTACTTGGGGGAGGGGCAGCCGTTTTATTGTATCCCGTCGGGATGGGGCCGTAGAAGCAATGCCGATCTCTATATAAGCATACTGCAAATACATGCGAGACTGATGTGCCGGTAGTTGGTGGAATGTAGTCTGATCCGACCTCACAGGTGGGAACGGACATTTGCTAACTTCCGTGGGTCCGGAGATTCACACCAGCTTCATGCAATTTTCGAAAGATGAAACACAATGGTTCAGCTAATTGACGTAGGAGTTCACCTGGAATCTCATCTGGTCCGGGTGGATTTACCGGATTCAACTTCGGATTCAACGTACGATCAGCGCCTGACGGCCTTGAACCTCTATCCCCTCCACTACAGGCAGGACAGAGGTGACCTCATAGCAACGTTCCAGTTGATAAAAGGACTTAATCTGGATGTCGACTGGGAAACGTTTTTTAAAATGGCACCCAAGTCCAATCTCAGACAACATGATTACCAGCTTAAAAAGGAACTGTGCCACACAAATTAACGTTTCTCCTTTTTCTCACAGAGGGTCATTCGCCAATGGAACTCTTTGCCGGAGTTTCTTGTTAATTCCCCTACCTTGAACGTGTTCAAGAGACAACTGGATACTCACCTGCTGAAAGGCAACCCAAACTGCCGAAGCCTGATCTAACGGATTATTGAAATGACTATAAATATACTACTAACATGATTTCAACAGATCCTATTTTGTGCATCAAACTTAGCCCATATTGAAATGTGCACAGTCCGAATGCGGTGAACAGTTTTTCGCAATTATTTTGCGAATATCATACTCCTTTCACCTTTATGTTACATTATTAGATTTATGCATTCTCCCTACTAAAACTGCAAGCAAAAGTTTTGCAATTTAACTATGTTACTATATACCTGTACCCTCTAAATGGAGTTTTCATGGCTTCTGTCGTTTACTCCAAATATACTGACTGAATACTGACTGAACTCCTTCAAAACCAGCTGTTACGCAAATGATACTGTACTTATAAGTGGATTGCTGATTATCTGTGGCAGAAAACTGGGTTGGAAAAGGAGGTTCTGTGGTATGACAACTTTGCAGAAGTTCCGAGATAAGCTCAGCCTACTGAAAGCCATCGATCACAGCTTGGTTGTTTTTACCTTTTAAGTTTGTGAGGTGGTCACGATTATTGGCATTACTCCTGACGTGGGCATAGAATGCAGTGTCCCTTCCAGGCGCCTTAGTTTACAAGATACAAGTGGTTTGCAGGGCAGTCTTTTGCATAAATTGCACCGCAGACCACCTCAGTGTGCATCTATTCCTTCACTTACTCCTGTGGAGCAGGTTATATTGGTCGCACGAGTCGGCGCTTATCCAAGAAAATAACGGGAACACCTCCCGGCATGGCTGGGAAAAGGCGAAACGAGGAGCATAAACAGCGCCATTCTCGCGCATGTTGTCGATTCCGGACATCGTGTGGACCCCAACGAAGCTTTTCCTGTGATTTATAAGGTCCCATCGAGCTACCCTAAGCTACTAGGCCAGCGCCGGTTAGCGACAGCAGAAGCGGCCGCCATTAGGTTACAAAAGCCAATCTTATGCGCATAGAAGAACCACGTTCAGGCTACGCGCCTAAAGTGGTCGAAGGTCGACTAACGCTGCAACTCTCCGCGCCCTTCCGCTCTCACCCCGCCCCTGATACTGACTGCTATTACCCCCCCCCCGCTCCCCCACATTCCCACACCCCGCCTGTGTTTTAAGGAGAAGTTTTATCGATTTCTCTTATTGCTGACATGTTTTTCTTCTACGCCGTTCCCATATAACTGTACTAGCCCAACGAGAATTTATCGAAAGCTACGCATGCTCTCCACCTCGTCTTCTAATTGCACTATTGCCTAAAGCCTGCTTTTCTGGGGTCTCCGTTTGTAAAAAGATTCTTTATAAGTTGCGCTTCTTCACATGTCATTGTTTTCCACAGTCCTCAACCATTTCAGTCTGCTTCTGGTCAAATGTTTTTAGAGTGACAGTACCGGATTTACCTGAGCAATTGACTAACTATGTGTTGGGGAACCGTTGAATAAACTGTTTTGCGTAGTTTATTCAAAGGTTCCCCAACACACAGGCAGTCAATTGCTCAGGTAAATCCAGTAAAGTGTTTACTTTATAATAAAGACGTTGAACTAGAGTAACCAGCGAGAAAAAGGACTCACCACAGAGTTCTTCGTCCTCCGCGAAGAATTTGTCATTCCGGGGATCTTTAGAAACTTGATAGAGGAGTCTACAAATGTGGATCAGATTGTCGCCCTTCACTCGAATCTGCAAACGAGAGGGGTGGAAAACAGTCGAACTCCCCTCGTTTCAGTCCCCCAATTTTCCAGAAAATAGGCGTGTAGGTTTGTTAGCAAAAAATCCTGGAATCCCGCCTAGGAGACATTGTGGACAGATCTAAAGGTTAAATTCAGCCGCATATACGGTGCGTGACCGATCTCGTGCAATGTTGGCAGAAGTTCTGAGATGCGTTTTCGAGTAGGAAGGATTACTTAGGTGGAGTTGTAATAAGGATTATCGTGCGACACTATCCCACGGTATTTCAAACTTGACAGGGTGTCGGCTTCTGAGTGCACACCTTTTCGACCTGCAGAAACCACACTCGGTAAGAAATGGCTACTTAAGTAGCATGCATTTTTCACAGTGGTTTTCGATGGTATTGTAAATTCAAATATATTTTAAAGAGAGCATGCACAAAATATGCTTTCTTTTACTCGTTTGGTAGAAAATCTCATTGTCTTCACATTTTATCGTTATCGTTCAGTTTTAAAAAAGTTTATAATTACGAGATTTTTAAGACCGTGCTATGTCCACACATACAGCATCGCACATGTCCGTTTACGAGTGCTCCTCATGAAATGTACAACATGGTCCGCATCCATTGCAAAATTTTATGAACGCCACATAGTAACCTCCTAAAGACATATAAGAATATATGATTTTCCTTATGCGGAAAGCATACACCCTGTGGACTGAGACCACTAAAAGCTAATGCAACGGTTGATCCGACTCAAAATTATTCGGGATTCGAAAAACTCTTTCAAAACCTACATATACACTTTCTTAGGGTGTACAATACGGATTTTCTATCAAACGAGAGAAAGAAAGCACGTTTTCTATGAAATATATTTGAATTTATGAGACTATCGAAAATCACTGTGAAACTTTTCATTTATAGCCACAGTCTCCTTACTATCGCCGTTGAACGGCGTGAATCAACTCTTCCAGGGGTCATAAAGCTATTACGCCAATTGATGGATTGAAAGAAAATACCAGGAACAGTGTAGGACAGGAAGTTCCAGGGTATATCTCCTCGAATATTGGTGGTATTTGCTGGCTCTGGCAGTATACGTCTACTTGTTTCGAAGGCTTACCAGATCCCATAACAAATCCCCTTCATCCACCGTTAAGGGGATCTTCTGTTTCTTTCTTGATAATTACGTACATCTTCTGTTTGGTAGATTAAATAGGGTGACACCAAAGCAGTGCGAGGCTATACCTAAAACGATGAAGAAGTATCCAGCGCCGCGAACAGTGACTTCGGATTGCTTTTCCAGTTTCGTCCCAAATCTAGACAGGGCTCAACAGAGAAGGCAAGGTTGCATACGGGAGCAAGTACACTCCCGTACTACAGGCGGCCTTGTGTCAAATTCCAGGAGGGTACCGGTTCTCTCGTTTTAATATTAACCCTTACCCTCCTAGCCCTGACACTACCTCCCCTGGAATCTAGCGCAAGGGGGTACCGTGCCTAACCGAAAGTACATTTGCCAAGATCAGTCAATGTTTTACAAGGGTATGGTATGTAACCCCCTGGGAAAACCGTAATTAACTATGGCCCTAACGTCAACCATGACCATGGCTGTAATTAGTAACCCCAGTCATTAACCCGTAAGCCTCAAGGGAAAACTCGGACGCAACCTCGACCTTAACCTTAGGCTTTAAATCTCTAACCCAAACCCTAAAAATCCTGGCCCAAACTCCTGACCCTAATTCTAAACCTCTAGCCCTAGCCTCAACTGCAAATCCAGACTATAACCCAAGCTTGACAACCTCGGCTCTAGGAATAACCCAACTCCTAATACTAACCCTAACTCCAACCGTATCCCTAACCCTAACCTTCAACACGATCTAGGCAACTTTGACGTCAATAACACTAGCGAAGATCAAACTCCGCGTATCGCATGGCTCTTTTTCCAGGCAAACCGTTATGAACCACAGAATAACGTTACCGACAAAGACAGGGAAGACTGGAGTGGCCATTTCTGGCTTATTGACTGTCGTCAGCCAGTCGTACCCAACCTTGAAGTGTGGAACACCTGAGACTCGGTCCCGCAATCTGTTGGTTAGAAGTGCAGTGTGCTAACTACTGAGCCACGGGTTCGCCGTTCTGTCGATTGCGACGGGGTATATACAATGGTAGAACGGTGCTCAGCGATCGCGCTACGGAACCCATATGTCCCCGTTGTGCCTTGCGGTCACACCACACCTACCTGGATAAGATAGGTAGGCAAATTTTTGGAAAACCACTCAAGGGGGTTACATACCTTATCCTTATTCAGGTGGCTTCACGCTGAATTCCAAGGCGGTGCGTATTCCAGTGTCCTAACTTCAATCTTGGTACTAACACTAACCATAATCCTAATCCCCCTCCCTGGCATGTTGCGCAAGGTCATCTGTAACACTGAGAGAAGCACCTACAACCGTGCCCTACCTCAGGCAGTCGGTCACTCAGCTCTGTTTTTCTTCCCTGTGTAACCGACGCCGCGAACACTACTGAAAGTTGCAAATCAGGGGGTTTGGCGCTTCAGGACTTGCTGGATGCAGGGAATGAGGAAGCGAGCAGGCTGCACGACACAACTGTTGGTGCGGTTGGCGATCACATTGATCGCCTCTTTTGCACTGTTTTCTCGGCTTGGTAACAAGGTCTAAGGCTTCATTTTGCTCTAGGTTCCGAGTGGCCTTTCTCACTGAACAACTCATTTACCTTCGTACAACTTGAAGCCATGCGTGAACCCTGTTTTGTGCGCAAGTGTTTCATAATATGGGGTGTATAACACACCTCTGTATACTCCGGTTCTTGGTGCAAATGCTGCAACCAGTAAACCACTTGCTGGGGTGATTGGCTTTCTCCCCCATTCTTAACAGATGACGTTACCGTGAGACATATCGTCACATCTCCATGTTCTCAGTACACAAGGCTATGGGAAGGACACCGGTCCATGTTTTAAAATCTACAAGAAGATAACCTTGAAGGTAGAAGAAAAATCAGTGCTAGGCCCCGAGATTGGGCTAAAATAGGCTGGCGTACATAGATGGGGGAAACCAACGGAGAAGGAACTGTAAAAGGCCAAACTCTCACTTCGAAATGTGAATTACTTGCCTACTTAAAACTATTAAGTAAACATTATAGAAGACAACAATTGCTATGGCATAAACTAACCTGCAGGGCAAGATGGGCAAGGGAAGTGCGCAAGCGGGGTGACTGGTGTCGAGTCATTCGTATTATCAGTTTTGTCAGTTCTGACTGCACTCGCCAGGCGTCAACTTCCTCTCTGCTATAGGTCTCCAGGTGCTTCTGAATGGTGGTGATGAGTACGAGGGCTTCCTCAACTCCCACGTCAACAGACTGCCGAGGTTCTACTTCAGCCACCTCCGCCAGTTCACCATCCGCTTCCCCACTCGACGATGGATCTTTTTTGGTAATGGCTGAGGAGATACCTAGGTATGTTGGAGGTCCCACGTGCGATTGAAGATCGAGACCCAAGCTGACAGCAGACAGCGAGTGTATTAGACGCCAGAGCTCGATACTTCGAGAGGAAACCTTTGAAGTATTTGCCTCTGGGTGCGTTGCGGTTGAAGGAGGAGCGGGCTGGTCATTCAAAGATGGAGCTAAGTCAGTCTTTCAACAAAAAAGAGTTCAAACAGGAAGCAATTTTTAAACCCTAATGTGAGTAGAGGTTAGGTTCCTCGGTAATAAGTCACTTCTTCGGAGTACTATGGTTAAAATATTTCGGAAATTGGTCAAGTTCTGAAAGTTAACAAGAAACTCAGAAGCTAAAAGGTAACTTTGCTCAAGTCTCACACTTTGACAACTTGCCTTGCTGGCTAGAAATGAACCTACCCCAGAAGCTGAATTCGTAGTTGTTAGCGTCTGGTCGGCGAGCTTTTCAGCAATGCTCTTTCGTGCTGTACCACGTCGTTTGTGCGACAGACTTTTCGAGTTGCCTGTCAAGGTTATGGGAGTGAGGAGTGGGGGTCCAAGGCGACTCCCAGGAAGCTCCATCGCGTCAAAAACTAATGTCCGGGGTTTTAAGCTGGGCGGAGCAACCTTGGTGTGAATGCTGGCGAGAAAATGAGAACACGGTGAAGACAACCAATGGGATCAGAATAGTTACGACAAAAAATCTCCTTCTTGGCTGCAGTACTAGGACTGCAAAATGCTACTGGCGACTTTCCTCACCCAGGGTGGAATTTAGAGTTTGTCCCTCGAATTACCTTCACCCAGCCTGTCTCTTCACCCTGTAACTTGTCTGAACGCAGTTCTGGTGCGTGGTTTTATCGCCCAGTCATCAAGTGTCAGTTTTGATACGAAAGGCTTCGATCGCAGCCGACAGAGAATGGACTCCGAGTGCGAAAATTTCGGCTTCTTAAAGTAACTTAGGCCCAAGTAAGAATCACAGTGGACGAAGATCACATGATGATGTAGAATAGGGCAGAAGTGGAAATCCTCGCCGTACTGCCCTTTAATTCTATACGGTATTCAACTTTTTTTCAGCAGATGAACCGGTTGTGAACAGACAGAAAGAAATCTTACTAGGAATTTTTCGCATTAACTATCATCTGTAGACAGTTCCACAACATAACTAAAGACCCTCTAGGAGTTATGGGACGTTGAAAAGAAATCCAAAGTGCGTGGGGTTTTGCGATGTGTTAGGTGTTTCCTCTATCCGTCCCGCATGCTTAAGATCATTAAGACAGGAAACGAGCAAGTGGAACTTGATCGCGGATTTCTCACCTGCTTCTCGAAATAGTGAAATCGGCCGCCCAGCATTACAGACCGGGGTGTCTTCTTAGAGGGCTCTTTAGTCGCGTTCTGCACTCGCCCGATGCCTAGTTAAGTAATATCGGTTGGAAAGTAGACTGGAGATTCGATAGGGGGAGGGGCGTGCAACGCTGCCGCCCGCGAGGTCATCTACAGCGCCATATCCGGCACCAGCCCCTTCCGTCAGAGCCAAAGTGGAGTTCGTCGAATCTCGAGGGACGTAGTACCCCACGCCAATCATTGACTTCTGCTGAAACGCTGACGACGTCAGCTCAATTATCGTTATTCGGGGCTGCAAGTGACAGGTCCGACGTCGACATGTCCAGACTGCAGGATTAGGTATGCACAAGCAAGCGCGTGGGGTCAGTTTACAGCAACGTCACTTGCGGCTGCGTGATCGTATGAGGGCACCTGCTCTCATGACCTCGATTCTGACGAAATGAAGGACATACTCCCCGATTGAACGCATGGATCGCACCTGCGACTTAGAGTGTGGCCTGCGCACTACCAGAAGGGGTTTGCGCGTCCGAATATTCGACTGTTGGCCAGTTTCTCTGACGCAGTGGCCTCCACAGTCGCATGTAAGAAATGTTTTTGGGGTGCCGGTGGAGAATCGGGCCAGGTCCGTGCGTAACCCCCAATTCAGAATGGCGCAAAAAAACTTGGCAAAGATCACAGAGACAACGTCCACGTGCAGGATCCTAGCCCGTGATGTGAGCTGATTAATTTCTTCCATCTGGTCTCTTTGGCGCATTCGGTCGCTCGCAAGCAATGCCTGCAGAAGTCCGCTTAGGAGTTCCTGGGGTGATTGGCTTCTTCTCTCTGTGTGACTGACATACTTCAGTTCGAGGGTATGTAGGCAGATCCCCTTGTGCCTGAAAGATGGTTCTTGTAGTAGCTTAGTATCCGCAGTATGTTTGTCAGATTTCTGCCTACGTCATTATCAACTCACCAACAGCTTACAGTTACAATTAAGTCCGTAGATGGCGCACGATCTCTTTCTATCAGGAAGGAATAACTACGCCAGATAAACCGGTCAACCACTGTGGACGCTGGTAAAGTAGCATAGGTGACGGTGTGGAGAGTCGACAAGTTTCTGATGACAGCCCATGCTGTCCAGGTGAGGCCTATCTTCAACTTTAACGGAGTCTTGGACCTAAGGCGAGATGACGATCACATGGCATTTCAGGTGACAGCTCAGTAAATCGCCTGTTCCTGTTTTGACATGTTGAGCGCAAATCTCATTTACATTGTTATGAACAAAAGGATTAAAACAGCCATTTACTCCTTAATTGCGCCGATCAGCCGGCCACATATCAGGTGAATTTTAAGAAGACTTGGGATTTTGAAACTCAATCGGTAGTACTCAAGTCACTGGCCTACGAGGACTCTAGCCTTCGGGTTCAAAGGCGAATGGAAAGACCTGGAATCCGGCCAATCACTCAGTGATAAAGCATACAACAGCGGGACTACTGATTCCCATTCAAGCTCCAGACCTCCTCACACTATGGTCGGGGATGGAATGTTCCCAGTAAGCAGAACCGAGAAACCCAATTGTGCTGCCTTTGTTAGCAAAATCCCCTCGACTGTCGATTGAGTGTTCCAATGGGAAAATCCACGAGTATTATGGACTCCCGGGTCCAAGACGGAGCGGAAAGTCCATTCTCGTTCCTTCGATCTAACTAGATCGTTGGGCACCATTCTCATGAGAAGGTAAACAGAAGATAGACGAAGAGGCTAGAAGTCGAACTTTTTATGGACTGAAACGCAATACGGAATTCACTAAAACCCTTAATCTACACCCGATAGACATTATACCCCGAGCGGAACACACACTCTTTAAAATCAATGCGATAACTGGGCTGGTTCAGTTCTGTTTGCTACGTAATTTACGAATAGTGAAATGCAAGTGATTTGGAATTTGAGAGGTGATCGGCAATTCAATCTAAAGTTTGAAGTCCCTTGACCCTACGCTTCCCATCATTCGAAAGCACGCTATGTTAGTTGACACCTTCTATGTGAGCAAAGGAACCGTTTGAGTAAAATAAACCCATTATTTGTGCGAATTCTCGTATCCACTGAGAAGTAATGCCGTTAAATAGAAATGAAGTCGGATTGCTAATTTTGGGCTTACTTCACGACGCCACTTCCAGCGACTTAGTTTAACTGAAATATAGACGAAATGCAGTTAGACTGCTCACTAGTCTCTCTCTCTCCCTCTCCCGCTCTCTTTCTCTCTCCCCTTCAACCGTCGCTCTCCTGACAAAGTGCTATAAAGGCCTAAGTCGAACAGATATGGTTATGTAGCCCCACCTGAACTAAACAAACCCCAGCCACCTGTAATACGGGATCAGTGGTAATAGGGGTTTTTAAACGTGGGATCGGGGAACGCACAGGTGACGGGGTCAAGTGGTTGTATGCAAAAGAAAAACTAGTGGGGATGCGCGGTTGTAGTTTGAGTGGTTGAGAAATAGTTACTCTAACCCCTAACAATAACCCCAACCCCTAACCTTAAACCTAAGACCTAACCCCTAACCCTAACCCAACCCTAACCTCTGACCATAACCCCGAGCCCTAACCCCCAACCCCTAACTCTAAAGTTACCCCCAAACCCCAACCCTAAGCCCTAGCCCTCTAACCCTAACCCTAAGCCATCGCCCTAACTATTGGGAATGCGGGGTTGTACTTTGAGTGGTTGAGAAATAGTTGCCCTAACGCTAACCCTAATCAGAACCCCTAACTCCAACCCCAACAGTATTGTGCCATCAGGTGGGGCTACATAACCACATCTTACCAATTGTTCTTCCGTAAAATACTCCGATTTCTTGAGCCATCCAGCGAGATTGTAATAGGATGACTTTGCCGCATTGAAACATAGACGCCAAGGTCTCTAACGGCCTGAGTTAAAGTCAAGTCGGCTAGCCACTTCACAGCGTCTATCACATCTGGCGCATTACACGTTTTCTGGGGAGGGACCTCAATTTTTCACTTCTTTTGCGTTTTCTCTCTCTTTCTCATTTTAGCTGGAGTGTATTTGTCAGTATCTGAGTGAAGTGCTGCGCTGCTTGCTGAGGACCTTCGAACAGGCCGTCCACTTGCTGCATTCAGCTCGTGATCAGCTAACTGCCCGCAACACCGCCGCCGCCGTCCTCCCCAATGTGCGCGATTTGTCGTCCCTGGCCGAAGACCTCTTCGAACGGCTTCGGCCGCATATAAGTTCTGTCTTCCCTGAGTCCGCTGGTTGCGGCGGTCAAGGAGAGACAGTAATGCCGGAAAATTGGCGCCATCGAATTTACGAGTCGCTGCAAGCGAGGGATGATACTGGCGTTCGCCGTGCTTTGGCTATTTTCTGCCAAGCCACTGCGCCCTGCAGCAAGTATGACCCCTCAACCCCTCCTCCTCTTTCCCCGTCTATCCGCAGAGACTTCCAAAATCAACACCTTCACTGCTTTTTTCCAATTGCGTCGCTTTTGTCTTTTAATTTTGAGGCATTCTTGCCGCGGCTGCACATTAATTGCTTTGTTCGGTCAGAAAGGTCGTATTTGATACATCTGTGGTGCGATGCATTTGAACAAATCAACCCCGAGCCAAGTCTGTCATTGGGGCGATCAAGCCAAAGGGAGGCTGGATCATTTTTGCCGAAAGCGAATAGTAGGAACAGACACTGAACATCAGGGCCGGCCGGGATCGGCCGGCACGTACAGGATCTTTGTGCTGCCGAAACAGGTTCAGTTCCTGTGTAGCGGCCCCGCTGTAAGGATTAAACCAGCTTTTACTGGAATTACTGTCTTGGGATATCTTCTCTACGAGTTCTGACGAACAGAGACTCAAAGCGTTGTAGAAAAACCTTGAAGACCTCACTTAGAGACCCCGGTGTCAACCAGTACGCCTGAGAGACCGTTGTTCGAAGTTTGTAGGCATGGTCAGCTGCCCTGAAGAGTGCCTTAACAGGCTGCCATGCCAACGAAATTTCGGAAGCCGGGGGAACGAAAAACTGGCATATCAGAAAAGCAGGCCTGCGGGCCCTTAACCACTTCTTATGTGCCCTAATTATAAACGTACATCCATACCTCATACTGGCTTTTCTAGTTCGCCGTACGTGCACTACACGGAGGAATTTTGTAACCCATGAGCAACCGCCTAACTCTTTTCCGCTCTGTTAATGCACATCCCGGGCCAAGATCTCCCTACATGTCCACCATGTATCCAACCCCACATCTCGGACCCATCTTGCGGTCGTTACTTAAACCACCCCCACCCCCGGAGCGAATATCTCGACCCAACAATGAGCAGACCCCTCATCCCCCCTCCTCTTTCCTTGTCTGTCCGCAGGGACTTCCAAAGTCAAAACCCTGCCTTAACCTCTAACCCTAACCCGTAGCCCTTACCACTAACCCTAACTCTTAACCTTAACGCCTAACCCCAACAGTATTGTGTCCATCAGGTGGGGCTACATAACCAAAACTTACCCTTAAGTTCTACTTAATTTTAAGATAACCATGAAACCCCCAATGACTTTACAGAAAACGTGAAGAGAAAAACAAAACAGCACCAACTCACTCAGAGCCATCAGACCGCCTGGGGCAAGAAAAACGTTCTGCCAGTCCACTTTCAGCCGCAGGAAGGCCAGGGCGAGTAGGAGGCTGGTAAAGAGGAAGAGTTTCGGCGGTAGAGCTGCTGGGGGGCGCTTGAGAAAGTAGACGAGAATCAGAAAGTGAGGCGAATTCAATTGCCCAGCTTTAAAACCACTAAACGACAAGGGAAGGTAAAGGAATGGAGGACTTTTTCAGGATCGGCTGTGCTGCAAACTCCCCTATGGTGTCGTGGATGGACACAAAACGAGAAAACGAAATTGGAGGGGGACAGAATGACCAACTGTAATACTGACCATAAATATTAAAGTCAACATTCCAGCCTATTGGGACTGTACAAAAAATGACGGTCGGAGTAGTCCCATCTGAATCGTGATTTCTGGTAGAGTTAAGCATAGCATATAGTTAAAAGGAAGCATAAACAAGAGATCAATGCAAGTGTTATAATAGTTTTTGGACAAAACCCCTGCCTCGGTGGACCCTGTGTTGTTATTGGCCGAGACAAAGAAGCACATTCTTTCAAGATGGAAGAAGCAAAACAGTCCACTTTCAATCTGGTGATTTTACAAACGCCCGCTTTCCAGAGTTGAATAGTGACAACCCGTTGGCAGCAACACCGAAGCGAACGGTATGAAGTCACAGTGAGTAAGTCCTAGAAGTTCGTTAAATTAAAGGAACAGATGTCTTAAACAGGCCACGTCAGCTGTTGGTACGCTTTAAGGAACTGCCCTTGGCGCTAGAAGACCAGAAGCAAGAGTTTCATAATCTAACATCATCCCAAGGACTTGATAGAACATTAAATAAAATTTCTATTCCTACATACTCGGTTCGCTTATTCTTTAGGAGCTTTTTGAAAACTCAAATTTCCAAGGAGGGAAATGTTTAATCTTCACTTTCCGCCTCCGACCGGTCATTATTCCCCCTTCAAGATGACCATGAGACTTGAATCCGAGACAGAGTCTTCAAGGCGAACCCATGTTCAGTGGTCTGAGTACTGACATACGACACGTCAGCCCATCTTCTCCTCAAAGGATATCTATCATTTCGTGATACTTTCAAGGATTAACTAGATATGGGGAAGAGACCAACAAACGCTCGTCTGCGGTACTTACTGTCGGGTCAATATACTTACACATGTAGTCCTAGTCAAGCAATTAAGGTCCTCTTCATTTAGGGAATCAATATTTGTGTTGGAAGTGCGCTCACCGATCGAGGAACGGGACATGCATGTCCCATTGTGCCTTGGACTCGAGTGGAGTCCTCTTAGGTGGACGCATAGTGACCAGGAAGATGTGTTGAGATGAACATCGGCAAAGACGAGGGGGACTGAGATGGGCATTGCTGGCTCAGTCAGACTGACCCAAATCCAAGTTTTGCCACACCTGAGTCTCTAATCCACGCTCTATGGTAATTGAGAATTATTTAACCCAAAATAATTGAGCCACGTGCTCGTTGTCCTGTCGGTTGTGATCGGAAATATTATCTTATGTCCAAAGTGCGTTCACCGACCGGGTTACGAGACGTGCTAATTCCGTCCCGCCTGCGAGAGTATGTCCCGTAACCTGATCGGTGAGCGTCCTGCTGTCATAGTTAATATGCACGACCACAAGCGACAGGACAACAAGTCCGTGTGGCTCAGTATTTAGAGCGCGGGACTTACTAACACTCGATAACCAGAGAACGCGGGGTCGAACCTCAGGCGCTTCAAAGCATGGGGTTGGGTAAGGCTGGCTGATGAGGACTAATGGACCAGGAGTGGCCATCCCGGTCTCCCGGTGAGCGTCCTCCTCTACCGTCGAATATGGCTAATCGCAACCGACAAGACAAGGAGCCCGTGGCCCAGTGGGTAGAGGCGTTGGACTCCTAACTAACTGGTCGCGGGATCGAGTCCCGCGGATTGCACACCTCGGAGCTGGGTATGGCTGACTGACGATGGCTAGTAAGCCAGAAATGACCACTCCAGTCTTCCTTGTCTGTGTCGGTAATACCACATATATACATACATCTACGACTTTCATCAATCTGGTCCCGGTGTGGAGCATGACTGCCCAGTTGCGCCTTCGAACTCGAATACAGAGCACTGGAGCGCAGCTACATATCGCCGGGTAATAGTGCGGAAAAAATATGGACAAAGCTTATTAACTGTTGTAAGTCAGCCATTTTCCGTCCCAAATTTGAATAATCCAGGGCTCGAATTCGAACCTTTGCCGATAGAATATACCATAGCATGAAGGTTGCACTAAATGAACTCTATCTCCACCGGCCAATTAAGTCTATTCTAGTCACACTTCTAAAAAAATCCTTTTGGTGCGTAGGTTTTTGAGTCCCATTACAAGGCCGAAGATGACATAAAAGGGGTCGACAAGGTTCAGTAAAATAATGTGTTTGGTGCAAGTTACCGGATGTTATACTTACATCTTAAGAAAACGATGGGATCAGAAGACACAGGAAATAGACTTACGTGACAAAAACGTTCTGCGGTTAGAAAGCCATTGAGGAGACTTGCTCTCGTGCACATTGCTTGCCTAAAATGTTTTTTGAATTTCGTCACCTTTTAAATGCAAGATAGCCAAAGTGAAAAAAACATACAAGCATAGACTGGAGTCGCAAAATGGCCTACTTCACAATGACCTGTGAAGGGAAGCGCGGAATCTGAAGAGTAATGAATTATGGATTCTAAATTACTCTTTTACCAGAATTATCGTAGGTCGACCAGGATTGAGCGGAAAAGGCTAGACGAGATAAGACACTTTAGTGGATTTAAGTAAAGATCTAAGTTTGACCACCCGTTGATGATGACGACGATGATGATGATGATGACGACGATGACAGTTCGACCGTCACAGCGTGAGGGGCACAGCACAAGTGACTGTTTACTGTGAGCTGGATTTGCACGGCATCTACCGTACTATCACTTTCCTTGTCCCCAGAACTTAAATGATCAAACAATGACAGCGCGACCGGGGGCGGGCACGGCGGCGCAGTGGCTGATAAACCTAAACAGGCCGTTCAAGCGCACGACGCACGACTTGACCCTCGCACAACAAGCCAGATTATGACAAAATAAATGATGGATTGGATTTTACCTTCGGGAGAGAGCCATAGAGACAAGTTGAAGAAGGAACCATTGGGCCTGACAGCCAGTCCTTCGGCAAGTCAACGTATAGGCGCAGGATCTAGTTTTCCAGTCAGCTGGCAGCCTATCAAAGCACGACTTTTAGCAGGTCAGATTTGTGGTGGTGACCTATGCGCTGAGATGTCATAGGGATGGATTCCCTAGTGCCGATCTCACTCGTCATTTCCTCTTCGGTTCACCAGTCCACTACTTGAGTCGTCTGGCGATGGGGTTGGACGAAATGGCTGACAGAGCTACCCTAGCCGGTCTATGCGTGCTAGGCCCGAGGTCGTCCCCGCACAATGAACCAGGAGCTCGCATAAGGGCAGCTCAGATCATATCTAAGTGGGAATGCCATAGAAGTCACCTTGAATAGGACGCACTGAGACTGATCCTAGGTCCACCAGTCAGTCACCCCACGTACACAGTGCCGACTACGAGGATCGGGTTATCTTGTCAGGATCTTTAGCGCGTCGCGGGAGTTTCAAAACGCGCCAGACCTGTCCGTATGTTTATGTTTTATGCAATTTGGGTTCGCTCTCCTCAGATATTCGCTTCAAAATGGAGAATTTGGAAAACGCAGCTGACATTTTTTGAAAGTCTCCTCATAAAAAACTTAAATGACGAAATCAACATGGGAGTATAGAAGAGAGAAACATAATCAACACACATTCTCAGCTGACAGTAGTAATTATTTCATAGTCCACAAACAGAGTAGCGCTAGAGCACTCTTTGACAGAGCTAAAACCCACTTCAGCAACCAAAGAGAGGAAGCATATGAATTCCGTTAACTAGAAAGTAAACTGACGAAACAAAAGCTCAGCTTGGACCTCCATATGTCGGTGTCCCGTACCTACCCACAGAACACGGAGTAAAACCCTCCAAAGTTATCGCAAAGGATACCAACAATTTGACGTAGGTCCGTGAAAACAGAAAGCTTCGTTAATAGGCGACCGGATCGACCTCAGAAGAATAAGTAAGCACTGCGAGTTCGTTATGTAACTGAAACGCTGCAGGTTGTCCGCATAGGACACAAGGTCCCTTTCCATCTAAGGTCAGCCTAAGCAAATAAGCGTCTCTGAGACAAGAAAATGAGTTCTCCTTTCTTTTAGTTGTAGAAGGTAATACTACGATGGAAACCCCAAAACAAACCAGTCAAATCGCCAAGGAAAATAAGTAGAACTGGTAAATAACAGGCTGCAGGCAAGTTCTGACTTATTAACAGTCAGTGCGGTTGAAAACCTACTACACACGTTCAGCACTGGTTTAAATTCTGATGAAAATTACATAAAAAACACCTCAAAACTTCTACAATATCACCAGAGATTTGCCTATCACGGTTCCATCAAAACCGATTTAACTAGAGGATTGAGAAGTTACACCAAATCAGTAATATCACGAAGCACTAAATCGTTTTCCTAAAAGTGCTTACGGGTTGAGTCTCACTCGATACAACATCTCCATCGTCTGATCGAGTGCTGGATGTAGATGATGGACGGGATTGGGAAGTGGTTCCACTGTTAAACAGAGAGCGAAGAGACTGTTTCGGCGTAGAGGGACGTCTGGTGCCCACTGACTGCAGCCAGTCTCTTGACTCGCGAATAATATCAGCCGCTGTAGGTTGGCCTGTCGGGGGCAAGTAGAAGGGACGGCTTGATGGAGAACGAGGCTGTTCTCGAGACCCGGATTTTTGCATCTTTGGACCTCCGTTTAGCCCTCTTTTGCTCGACTGCAGTGCAGATAAACTCTGTCAATTTTCAGTCAAGAAAACACGATATACAACAAGCAAAAGCTCTGAGGCAAAATGGGCCTTCCTTTGCAAATCAATATCGATCTTGGCTGTTCGACATAGCAGGAATGACAAACAACAAGGACGAAAAGGATGTAGGAAACGTTTCTGGCATACCTACACCCACAAAATGAGGATATGTCTGGTAAACCATGGTTAAAATGCAGCTGATGAGCTGTCGGCCGTGATTCGAACCAAATGCAGTCGTATTAAAGTGAAAATAATTGATTTGACCTGACGGAAGGAGGAAATATGAGTATTCTGTTGATCTTTTCTAGAGCCGCCGTGGACGGCAGTATAGTAGAGAACGAAAAGAGACCGGGAACATTTAGGATGAATGACGTGGTGATTTATGCCTTCTCTATATTCCTCAGTTGCCCACAGCGCAGCCATGGCCCGGGAATACCAGGGGCTTGAACCAGAACACAGTGAATCATCGAACTTGGTGTAACAACGTCAAAGAACACTAAACTGCGGCCGATGTTGAGAATAAAACGACCTATCGGCAAAACACAGACGACTCGCACGACTAAACTGTGATGATAGAACGACAAGGCATTTTTTTTATCCAAGTGAGCTATAAAAAAATGTTGTGGACTGCCACGGTTCAACAAAAAATTAGGTTTTTTGCAGTAAAAAAATACCCGAGAAAAGAGTTTGTTTACTCGAGAGCGGTTTAGAGCCCACCCAGGCTGGTTGTTATCGACGACCATCGAAAAGTGTTATTAACGAAAATGTTAATGCCCGTTTTGTAACCCGAATAGTTCGGCGAACGCCGGCTTTAGGTTATTTTTTATCTCCTAGGTCTCTGCCGATAAACAGCAAAACAAGTAAGCCAGGTGAATAAAACGATGGACTCGAAATATTCAATGAGCCGATGAACCTAAATTTGAAAATTTGGTTTGCAGTCACCTTAGATTAGGTCATCAGTGTCTGATGAGCGTTGATAAGCCGAAAATGACTACTTCGGAATTCTACTACGTGTCGATAACATTCCTAGATAAAAGATGCTTGCGGTTAATTCGTTAGCCATATGATATATGGACAAAAATACGGTTGAAATAGTGCAATGTCTCGCACAAACTTTGCTGGGGAGAAGTGAGCAAAAATATGCTCTTCGTAACTGGGTCATTGTTTTAAGTGGATAAAGTTGTTACTAATACAACAGAGATAGTGGGTCCGGAATGCTTTCATGAAACTGACAGGAAAACAAAACGGCGCTCTACGCGCTCAGCTATACTGGAACTCTTCGTTACTTAGTCGGTTCAGTGTTAATCCCAAGTCAAATAGTGCATCAGGGAAGTAGAAGCAGATGCTAGTCATCCGGCAACCAGAAAAAATGTACGGACGGATTGCTACCACAAGGTCATAAGCTTAACCGACGATGTGTGCAGAAGACCGCAAATGGTTCGCTGGGATCACTCATAAAATATTCTTGGCTAGCGTAGACACCAAAACTCTACCAAAGATCCATGAAAGGTACATGGGGCCTCATTCACTTTTAACTGTGCTGGGAAACATTAACAGAAAATCTTATGTCAATAATTATGTTCAGAGTATCGCGCTAAGTCTGCGATTATGGTTAATAGACTTCTGCGTTAACTACTCGTACAATGCAATTTTACCCATTAAATCAAACTTGTGCTGTATCATGGGACAACTCATTATAGGGCTACAACAAGACAAATTGGTTTATTTTCAACAATATATCTCCGTCAAAAGTATTCTAGAACACTGTACAAGTTACTAAGCAATACCGAAATTATAAACCAGACGGGCAAACAAGCTTCTATAATAAAAACCTTTTATTTAACTGAGGCAATCAAGCGTTCGTCACGCAGAAATCCTAGGTGTCCGCTCATAAGGCCTATAAACCGTGCAGCTTACAGAGACAAAGTGCAACCAGAGCATTAAGAGTCAACTATATCCGTTAATCCAACATTCTGCGTCGATATTAAGAGGTCACTGCCACTAATAGGTGTTCAATGCTGCTACAATACGGAAAAACGCATCGGCGCTGGTCACTTTAGACAGTATTGCAAAAACAGCCAGCGTTTTCTATTTTAACACATTAGCCGTAGGTAGCTCTGAGTATCTTAACTAAAATTTTGTAAAACATGCCTTGGCTAGTAAACTTAAAAGTTGTCATTCAATAAAGTTATTGAATTTATTAAGTAATATGTCTATTAACAGACATATTACTTAAGTCCAAATTCCCGGCTAGGTACGTCTGTCGTTTGCGAACTTTAACTTTGAAAATAAAAACTGCTTTATTAGTGTAAATGTTTGATTAGGACGCGCAGGGTACCTCTTTTCACAAACAAAGAAAATGGATTATCTAAAGTAGAAGGGCAACCGACTAATCGATTTTTGCGCGAAGATCCTTGCCAATGCGCTGCAGAAGCGTCTATGTTCTGCTGAAAGCGGATGCGTTAGAGAAAGTCAATGAGAGTTTTATTTCGGTCGTGAGGAGGCCGATCATGTATTTACTCTGTGTTTGAAAGTAGAACCAAGGAATCATCTTAAAAGGAGAGCAAACGATAAATTTTAGATATGCGTACAACGTCTTACTCGTTCAACAAAAGCCCTGAAGGTTCTACAGTCTAGAGGTGCATGATGTCTCGTCGCGAGGTTTATCGGAAAAAAGGTCAACGTTTATGAAGTCCCTGTCCAAACCGTCGAGCTCTACGTTGAACAAAGTTGGCCATTACAGGCATAAAGGTTTAGAAAGGTTGAGGTGCGTAATAAATGGCGCCCACGGAGAAAACAATAATGTCGGTTCTCGGACTGTTTAGAAAGTTGAAACCCGCAGAAGTTCTGGGACATAACATGGCATCCCGAAACATATGTGTTGGTAATAAAAAAAGAAGTCGTGATCAAACTTATCAGTTTGATCACGGGCTAACTAAGTTAGCCCGATGAGTAAGTCGCGCTTTTTAACGTGGAACAAATATAACAACACTTTATTTAAACCTCACACACTCAAATAACCGAAACGTATTGTTCGTGGCGCAAGCCTGCATTTTAGCATGTATACAATTAACTAATTTTGAATGGTCTTTACCCACGAATAATAAGAATCATATCTGTGCGAATCTATTGTCAGTGCTGGTAAGCCCGTTTTTCTATGGTTTTTCCGCTGACAAAAGTGCGGCAGAGTTTGAATACAACAGTAAGTGGATAATAAAATAATTTGTATAAATTTTTAACCCCAGGTTTCTGCGACATAAAGGCAAATCCTGAAGGTTTTCCAGAATTCGGGAGAAGAACTAGTTCAAAGCACGAAACGGGAAATGCAGCAAATAAAGTAACTTAAATGACAAGGACGTGAACTGGAAGATGTGAGAACTATAACTTAGTAACACCACAGTATAGACACGTCTATACTACATAGTACTTCGAAGTATGTACTTTAAAGTACATATAAAGTCGACAGCCTTTGACTGGTACTAGTCAATTGACTAGTAGCAGTAAAAACCTGTCGAATTTCAGCGAAAAATAAGAGACGCGAAGATAAAAAGGTTAGTAATTTTGCACTTTAATTAGAGTTTTTCAAAAAAGTATGAATTGCAGCTACAGGCTATAAAGGTTCTGTAGAACATTCTATCGAAAGAAAGAGGGAGAGAGAGAGAAAATAAACATGTATGGTCGCAAGTCCTAGGCTCCAAAAAACGGAAAGTAATTTAATATGGTTATTCCAAACTTAGCATACTAAGTTCCTTATTTTATATATGTACCTTACACTTTCCTCTCAAACGTAAACTGTTGTGAAAATATGTTTTCGTCTATTTGAATATGCGCACTGCAACACATGACAATAACACATGAACTCAACCATCAAATTTCAAGCATTAGACAACAGAAGAATTGCTTAAATTTGCAAATGCTTTATTTTTATAAGAAACATTGCTTTTTGTCAAAAAGTGTTTGAATAGGTCGGCGGTAGAAACCGCTCGGGCAGACATACAAATTTCAAGGTCAGAGCCGCGTTTGCTAAATGCCCTGTAAGTGCAAATATGTAGTGATCAAAACATGTCTGTGCAAAAAGTTATTCATGCTTGTGTCCTTAATTGTGGGCAGTTGTAAAGGACGCTTTCATTTTCCGTGTGCCTGCACCTAGTAACATGTAAACTCCAGCTAGACGGACCATAACATTAATTTGACATACACGAATATACTCTCTGAGCCCACAATACGGGTGATCGATTTTTCAATTCTGCATGTTATCTTTTATGAGGTATGAAATCTGACGGTCACGACTCCTTTTTAATCAACCTGTGATGTTGGTAGAATTGTGGGATATTCGACAATTCTTGTGGCATCTCAGTATAGTACACATCTGAAATGACCTACATCACGGGCGCAAGTCGCGCGCTAGAGAACGGTTTTATACACTTGTTTCGGTGAAACAAGTCTTAAATTCTGACAGTGCGGCTGTTCTGTTTGCCTACTCTCAAATAACTTGAATTAATTGCCCACTGAGTTGAAACAGTCATCGTTAGTTTAAATGTCAAATGGTGTGGTGGATCTTTTAAGATCCACCATATTTTCTTACATTTTAAGTACCCAATACAAAGTCTTTTTTTCGCTAGTGCAACTCTACGGTCTTGATTTCCAGGAAGCGTATATATTTCTTAAGCTGAAAATGCGACATGGTTAAAAGTAACTCATACGTAATCGTTAATCTACCTAATGATATGCAACGAACCTTAATAAATGCCAATTATTCTAAACCAGAACTGGAGTGCGGTTGCCACAACAACTCATTCGCATGCCAGTTAGATGTAAAATTCAGATTTGAAAAAAACTGTAAGTGTATGAAAAAGCTTGTCGGATGGACCTGAAGCGCTGTGAAAATAAGGCGATAGCCAAAAACCAAACAAACAGTTCTTTAAACAGCGAGGGAG